GCACCCGCACAGGTATCACTCTCAAAGAATATATTCGTGCTTGTCTTGCGGAGCTAGGGAATAGTTGGCTTCCACGTGGTGGGACGAGTTCGGCTGAGTTCAAGAACCAACCAGGACAACCATTTCTTGCGAGGCGCATGGTTTACAGGTATTTTTTCAATTCTCATTTATATATTGGTATTTATATTTTTGTTTTACTTTGTAGATATTTAAAATATAGCCCCGGCGCACCGGTATACACAACCGGTGTTTTGCAGAAGCTCCTGACTAGAGGCAAGAAGCTTGGGATGTATGAGCCAGAGTTCTACTGTCCTTGTACACATGAGAGGGAGCTATGCCCGTGGTACCTTGAACTCGTGGAGCAGATGCCAACATCGGACTTCGAGCTAGATCTCTACCTTGAATGTCATCCAGGTTCACTTGAAACTCAGCACTTAGCTAGGAAATATTAACCTTGAGTTATATTTTTATTTTCCAGAGGCTCTTTCTGACTGTGATAACGACATTATTGAAGTTCAACAACTAAACCTAGAAGTCAGCACTCAGGAAACCATTCAGGAGATGGCAAATCCAAATACCGTTGAACCAGAGGAAATTGTACAGGAAATTCCAGCACAAGAGATTCCAGTACCTGCTCCTCGCAACCCCCGAAGGGGCCGTCATGAAACCTTTCATGAGAGTAAGGACTTTGATTTGGAACATTCTTTTATTCATTCTTGACTTCACTTTTTTTTTTATAGATGTTGCAGAGAGCAGCCATCAGTCTTTTCGGCGGACTAAGACATTCTTCCCATCCCTCCCTACGGCTACAGATGACGACCTAGAAGAGCTCTCCTCTGCAGCGATGCATAAACAGGTTAGTAAGCATGAATTTTATCTTCAACTTTTAGTTCTAATAATTGATTTTCAGGTTCGCCCTCTATCCCCAATGGCCAGTGTTGGGGAAGTTGCTATTCTCATTGGGGATTACACACAGCTTTTAGATGCTACTAGTCAGGAGCTCTACATGCTTGATCGGTGGATCCATGGTTTGGGTCAGCTCACACCTTATGGGAAGATCGATTTCATCTTTTTTGATCTTCCCGATGGGATGGCACCACCGCAGGGGGATACTCCGTCATGGAATGTGTTGCAGGCCCAACACATTTCCCAAGCCTTAAAGGTTGCGAGCAGCTTCATGACATACAAGGGTGTGGTTGTCATGATCCTTCCTCGCTCTCTAATGTGGGAAGGCCTTCTCGCACACTTGGCTGACAACGATGATGGATTTGTTGAGTTTCATCTGGCTGCCTTCTTTCGAGTATGGCGGTGGACACAAAAGGCACTAGCAGGCAGACGCGAAAGGTGTGTGACTTCTTTATTTATAAATTAACTCTATTCTATTTTTTTTTCCAGATTTATTCCTGGAACTACCATGCTCTATGCCACATTGGGAACCGGCGTAATGCCACACGAGCTGACGAGCGTGCTGCTCTTGCTTTACCAGGATATGACAGCTCTACAGACATCATCCCAAATGTGATTGACTCGGACGTTCTTCACCCAGCGTTCCCTGGTTATCGACATCATTCGGTCACGGCTATGCAAATCTTGTTGGAGTTATTTTGTCCGCCAAAGGGGATTGTGCTTGATGCTACAGCAAGATTTGGATCAATGGTGCAGGCAGCAAAAGAGACAGGCCGAGCAGTTTTTGCACTTGAGAAGGAGGGTGCCTTTGAGGACATTCTTAGGAGATTTTGCGACAGGTGATGTTAGTGCTTGAAATAATCTATAATATTTATTCTCAAATGTTTCTATTTTATTAGGTCTAAACTTATCACACACAGTGTTTCAGTCCACACGCTTGATCTTGATGATATGGATGATCATATGGACCAAAGTCAATTCCACTTACCTATTTATGCTGAACGTATGGCACAACATTACATACAACATGAGCCTATAGTGAAGGAGCATTCCACTATACCCATTTCTACTTTTCTGGATATGGAAGCAAAAGAAGATTGAATATATTCTGATTTTAATATAAATTATATTGTTTAATATATTATTTTCTTTTTTTGTAGACTAAAAGATTAGTTCATGTCGAACCAATAATCTACATGAGCTTATGGAATACCTTAAACACCTAGATTTTATGTTAAAAATTCTTGGTTCGGGACGAACTAAGGTAGTGCCATTAAACTTTCGCTAGTTAGGGGATTGTATTGACTTCCTTTGACTTTCGTTGACTTTCATTGACTTGAGCTCAGCTCAAAAACTACCCAGCCCCGGGTTAAGTGACTAAAGTAAAATGGAAAAATTAGTCGCTTACAAGGGGTTCCTTAGTCATTGAAAATGACTGTATCGGGTGTTGTAGCAAGTTGAATCACAAGTTTATGAGGTTTAGCATGACATATAATAGGTTGATCCTCCAAAAATTGTATATATGCAATAGCTAAAATGCTTTGTACAAAGGGATTAGGAACAATTGGCACCATCTACAGATCTATCAATGCCTCCTCCTAATGTTCCTCTAGATCCTAGCCTATCCACAAGAGAACCTTAATACTCTTCCATCATTTTGAGAGGAGGGGATGATATGAAGTTCAAATGTATGGCTACAATACCATATATTAATATTAGCGTAGTGGCCATCAAATTGATTTCAATATAAGCTAGGGCTTTTAGGTTATATATTTTCTATATTCTCTTTCCATATTCCATGCATTCACATTTCTAAATGAATTTTGGTTTTGTATGAATTTTTCTCAAGATGAAATCTTTTAGAAGCTAATCTACAACCAATATTATAAAGCACTAAAAATCACTAATAATCTTAAACATATAATAATATTTTAGTCTGTTTCTGTAAGTGTTATATCTAAAGCTCAATTTAGCATTGAGCTGATTCAAATATAATAAAAAGATATTGGAATATATTTATGTAGAAATATAGATTAATATTCGAGGATTGATGCACATGATGTAGTTGCATTTCTCATGCTCAATAGCTTGCTCGTTATAAAGGACATACAAGACTATTGGTAAGTTTGTGTGAGAATTCTTTTACCTTGTTTTCAATCAAGCTCTGGAATTTTTGAGGGCTGTATACTTGGAAAGGCGGACCTAGGCTTGGGCCATCCAGCAGACTTTCCATAGAATAATACATATACTCAGTAATTCTATCCTATAAAAACCATGTAACTGTACCAGACTTACTCGTCCAAATTTGCAAACATTTTCTGCAGCCGATCCGTGCAGGAGGTCATTGTCGGTCTAGCCTTAGGCTGCTCCTCTAGGCAGTCATCTCGAAGTTCTTCCAGCTCTTGGGTCAGAGTCACCTTGGACGTATGGATTAGCCAGCCTACACCCCACACGTCGACTGCAGTATCGTGAGGGCCCAGAGGAATCTCCGGTGCATGACAGGCACCAGAAAGCGTCGCTGCAGCACATGGAGCTGGAGAAGTGCAGGACTCATCCCAGTCAAAGAGTACCCACTGGTTGGAAGCGAGATCCAGTCCAATGTTCCTCCAGCTCACGTCCCTGTGTATCACACGCCGCTCAACTTCGTAGACTTCCAATAACATGCTGTAACACTTCTAGTATAATGCAAATCCTCTCAAAGAATTGTCTTTTAATATTAATACAATGGGCATAACACAGCGCATTGAAGACGTGAAGCAAGGCCCTTAACAGCTCGGGAACGGGCGTGGCTCGCTGGTTCGTATCGAGCCACGGCGTGAACGTCAAAGTGTACAACCGATCGTCAGGATCACCGTTTCGTTTCCTCTTTCGGGGACAGGCCTCTGTATGACACTTCTCTGCATTTGGGCAGCCCTGGATGCGTGAGTACGCGTTCCACACCTTCTTTGCCTTCTCCAGGTTCATATATCCCTTGACCCGAAAGAACCACGGACTTGCCACCCTTCTCAAGATCCACTTCCTGCACCGTGAACGTATCAGAAATCTCGTTTCTCCTCGAGCATAGATCACAAAGGCCCACCAGAACCCTCCCCAAGTTGAAAAGTATCAGCTGGGACTGCACCCTGTCAGTCATGCTGCTCAGATCCACCGTGACCAAATCTTGGCACTGCACCTTGCCCCCACCATGGTAGAGTGCACCGAATGTCACGTTGGGACCCCTTGCATGGTAGCCAAGCAGATAGGGCACGTCCTTGTACACCCAGACCAGCTTGTCCATGAGCTCCTGCTTTGGATTCCCTGGCCCCCGAACTGCCTTTTCTTCACCCCGGAACAAAGAATAAAGAGCACCCACATATCCAACGTAGTCAGGAAGTTGAGACAGTGTCCGCGTCTCGCAGTTTGTGTTCCTGTCGAACGTCAACGACACAGAAGTCTGCAGGTACCCCTTGATTGATTCATGTATAAGCATGTTCCAAAACGGAATGTAAGAAAATTCGGTAGTGCCTATAGAACGGCGTTAGCAACCTGAGGTTGAAGAGAAAGATGAAACGCACCAACTTCGGGAGGCTTGATGACGCTAAGAGCCAGAAGACTTTCGAGGTCAAAGCAATACGAATTTGGGGTGCTTGCCGAACATCCCAGCTAAATCATGGGACTTTAGAGTCGCATACCTTGCGGGGCTCAGCGGAAAACATAATCCCGTCGGTTTCGATACCAGGAATTCCTTGAGCGATGCAAGATCAGGAACAGCCGGGGTGCGTACTCCCTGAGTATGTGGCGTGTGGCATCATAAACAACGCCTGTCAGAAAAGACTCAGATCGTGCGCAAACGAAAGAGGGCATACCTTCAGCCAATGTCACTCGAGCTTGCATGACGCGGTGGAAAAGAGCTTCGGTCGTGAGAAGAGCGGCATCGAGCAACGGCTGGAGGGTAGCATTACCCAAAGCTTTCTTGCTGATTCGAACAAGCGATTCCCTCGCCCACGGCAGGAGAGATTCAGCCTGGGTAGAGCTCGGAGATTCGACAGCAACTTGGAGTACCCTCTGAGCACCCAGGTACGAGCGAGGATCATCCAGAAACCCCTCGGCAGCGTCCACCACTCGATCGTCAAGCGTAACCATAGCAGCAGAATTTAGGGCCCTAAACACAGTTCCAAATAGAAGTTTAATATTTCTATATTTTCCGTATATGGTTTTTAAAAATTTATTTTATAAATAATTTATAAATAAATAGGCATATTTATTTGAAAAAACAGTAATAGTAGTTTAATATTTAATATTGTGAAGGCCAAGTGTATGGCATATACTAATATTAGCATAGTGGGATTTTGGTAACTATCGAATTGGTTTCAATCCGGACCACTTGCTCTTGTATATAAGCTAAAGTTTTTGGGCTAATTGATATACACATTTTCTACATTCCCTTTCCATATTCCAAACACTCACATTGGTGGAAGTGAGGGACAATCAAAGGGTGGAAGTGAGGGACATCTTTGATTGTCCCTAGGGAGTGCTTGGATTTGAGATTTCGATTTAGATCTAGCTTTTTGCATTGTCTAAATCTAACTTTTTCCATTTCCTTTCTTTTGTTCTTTCTTTTCAGGATTTTGGTTTAGATCTAGCTTTTTGCATTGTCTAGATCTACCATTTCCTTCTAGCTTTTTGTCATTTCTCTTCTTTTGCTCTTTCTTTATTTGTCTTCATGGCAGATCAGCAATCTCCTCCTTTGACTCTGGAGAAGCAGTTGGTACAATTGCTTGATGCTATATGCTTGCAATTGACCAACCAAACTCAATTGATGGTGGCGTTCACGACACGTGGTACAACTCCTCCTGCTCTTGGTGCCAATCCTCGCGTTCGGCCGGAGTTCTTTCGCGGGAATCCTGGGGATGATGTGTACCATTGATTCGATCACTTCACGGTGATTGCCACATATCATTCTTGGGATGATGCTCGACGTTTGCGTGAGTTTCCCACGTGTCTTCAAGGGACGGCGTTGCAGTGGTACAATGGGTTGAGCGCAGCCACTCGTGGGGATTGGAGTGTTCTTCCAGACGTCTTTAAATGTGCCTTCGGACATGCTGACGACTGTGATGATGCCTTCCAACAATTGCATCGTCTTTGCCTTGCACGTAGATGCTTCTAATATTGGTCTTGGAGGTGTGTTAATGCAAAAAAGCCCAAGTGTGCCTGATCAACGTCATCCCATTGCATATATAAGCCGTACGTTACAACTAGCAGAGGTGAATTACTCCACGACAGATAAGGAGTGTTTAGCGGCAATTTGGGGTTTCGAGAAACTTCATGCATATCTACATAGTTCTCGGACGTTACTTGAAGGTAACCATGCTGCCATTACTTCATTATTGAAGTGGAAGAACCTGGTTGGTCGTACTGCTCGGTGGGCTTTGAAGCTTCAGATTTATGATTTTGATATTGTTCATCACCCAGGGAGTTCTATGGCTGATGTTGATACTCTTTCTCGAGTTCCTCTTTCTTCTCCACTCTCTTCTCATATTTTTGATGAGCCTGTTGTTCCAGCATTTGTGGATTTTCTAGACGAGGATTCTATGCTGTCGGCGGTTGCTATATTTGATGTTCAGTGCCCACAAGGCGTAGAGCAAGATCTACCTTCTCTTGATGAGGTCCACGAGGCTCAAAAGATTGAGCCATGGATTCGAAAGCTTCAAGATGCGTTTGAGAATCCTGCATCACTTGCTGATGACTTGCCTTTCTGGCATTTACATTCTCAATATCGCCTTGAAAATGGCCTTCTTTATTTTGTGGGGATAGATCCTAATGATCATTTATAGCTGGTGGTGCCTTCTGTCTTTATTCTGCAGTTTCTCCATGCCTACCATGATTCTCCTGTTCTATGTGGGATATCGTCGTGTGACCGAAAAGTTGCGCAAGTCTTTCTATTGGCCGGAGATGCGATGTGATATTATCCAGTATGTGTGTAGCTGTGTTTGGTGCCAAGCTCGTAATACTCCCCCTCGTGCTGCGGAAGGACGGTTGGAGTCAATTGTAATTTCCCGTCCGTTTGAGTTGGTGGTGTTTGATCTTATGGGACCTTTTCCACAGTCGACTGCTAGCAATGAGTATGTTATTATTGCTTCTAACTACTTGACTCATTCGGTGGAAGTTGGTGCTCTTGCTAGCGCCTTTGCAACTGCTGTTGGATACTTCCTCCTCAATCAAGTGGTGTTCCAGCATTCTTATCCAAAGCGGATTCTTTCGGATAATGGTCCCGCATTTATGGCTGAGGCATTTTATGTTTTGACGTCTTGGTTGGGGATACGCCACATTTTCACAAGTGCTTATCATCCACAATCAAACGGTCTAGTGGAATGGCTTGTTCGAACATTCAAAAGGATGATTGCAAAGTATGTGAACTTTCAGCATTCAGATTGGGATGGTTATTTACCATCTCTTCGGTATGCATATGTCACAGGGGTGCAGAGTTTTGTTGGTGCTTCACCATATAAACTCCTATATGGTCATGATCCAATATTACCAACGGAGCTGGGTTTACCTTCGCAATTGCTACAAGCTCCCGATGCTAGGTCATGGGATCAATATTTGATAAGCATTCTTCCACTTATCCGAGCAAAATTTGCCGAACACTTAGGCCGTGTACAAGTGGGACAACAACAGCACTACAACTCCTATCATCTTCCACCTGCAAAGTACAAAGTGGATGATTTGGTGTTAGTCTATTTTTCCCATCTTACAGTATGTGGTTTATCTAAGGGGCTCCTTGTGCAGTGGAAAGGACCATATCAGGTGTTGTGACAAGTTGGACCACAAGTTTATAAGGTTTGGCATGACGTCCAGTAGACCGATCCTCCAAAGATTGTGCATGTGCAGCGGTTGAAATGCTTCATACAAAGAGATCAAGAGCAATTAATACCATCTACAGATCCACCAATGCTTCCTTCTAATGTCCCTTTAGATCCCGGCCCGTCTACAAGAGAATTTGACGGCCTTCCATTATTCCGAGAGGAGGGGATGATGTGAAGGCCAAGTGTACAACTATGATGCCATATACTAATATTAGTGTAGTGGGATTTTGGTAGCTATCATATTGGTTTCAATCCGGACCATTTGCTCCTGTATATAAACTAGGGATTTTGGGCTAATTGATATGCACATTTTCTATATTCCCTTTCCATATTCCAAGCACTCCCAATATCGATTACCAAAAATAAGAATGAAAATTTAAAATAATTCAGATATATATATATATATATATATATATATATATATATATATATATATATAGATAGATAGATATATAGATAGATAGATAGATAGATAGATATATATGAATCAAATATAAATAAAACATTTAAATAATTCATTAAAAATTATCTTTATAGTAAAAGAGGATGATATTTAAATTTTTTTATCTTATTTTAATTTTTAGTATATTTTTAAGGTCATGTATATTTTAAAAAATGATACACACTAAATAAATAACACATTTATATTAAATGAAAATAATTGGTATTTGAATATACCATTTTGGTTTGCAATAGATGGAAGTGTTTTAGAATATTCTAAATATATTATCTTTTAAACCACCAATTTTGGAAGAAACATTGCAACATTTTCACTAGTGAGCAATAAGTAGCATCCTTGACAATTCAACAAGTTAAGTTAATCATCTATTGTGGTACATAATGTAATTAGGAGATAGGTGAGATTGATTTCTTTCACATGCATTTTAGTGCTTTAGATTGTGATCTCTCAATCCATATTTCTCTTGTGCTCAAGTGTGGCTTTTATACAAGAGTGATAGAATATTTTAGGATTATAATATTTTTAAAGATTTTTCATCTCATTTCTTTAGTTAAACAGTAGAATTAGGGAGTTATTATGATAAGTGAGGATAGAGTTTATGTGTGGGGATATTATGTTATTATGTATATACCTCCATGCATTATGCTTTTGTAGTTTTTTTTTCCTAGGGAAAGATTCATACTCAATTGGATTGGGAGGTCCTAGGAATTTTCAAACACATCTTAGCATAGTACCCTCAAGATTAGGGACCACATTGTCCTCCTTTCTCCTGACACAACAAGCATCCATGTATAGGGATTTCCATGCAACCTACAAGTTGTAGAGCTAGCAATGCAAACAAAGGATGGGGAATGTTGGAGCATGAGCTCCAACATGGCTCTGTCATCATGCTCAGGGAGATCCAACAGCCATGGAACGATCCAGGAAGCAAAAAGCCATGGGTTTTAGAGAGGTAGAGCTAGAGGGTCTGAGAGGGAGACAGATTTCCTGTCATGGACATGAGAGTACTTGGATGCAAAGGAAGATCATGTCATGGAGGGAGTGTTAGAGATATATGCTCTCCATGACATGAGAGTCTACGTGGCATGAGTTGCCACATCACTGATCCAGGTGTACGATAATCAGACTATATATGCATTATAATATATCAGAGTGAAAGTCATTCACAAAGTGTTTTGTTTCCGTTCTTCTTTCATAAGAGCCTATAAGAACCGAGGCCGGTCTTAGGTAATTCTCGCTTTGCTTTCCGTTTTGCTCTGACTTATCTAATGCTATCATGTTTCAGAGGATTTTCTAATATACATTCTAGTGACGGCGACTTCTGGCTAAACGATGAGGGGCATAATTCTTATAGATGAAATGGAAGTAAGGGTTTTCATGGTTTGAGGATGACACGTTTTGTAAGAACAGAATGGAACACGAAGATATCTTCTAGGCAGCGTTAAGTTGCGGCAAGGCTCAAAAATTCACGCCCTGTCGATTGGAATCCATTCGTTTGGGTGAAATCGAAATACAAGTACTCGATCTTGGAGTTTCGCACTCATCAAGAAGGGTCGAGTTGACGCAAGTTCTTATCAAAGGTACAGTTTTAATTTTTTTAGAAAGATGGAGAACAAATGTCCAAGAGAACTCATTCAACAAATGTCCACAGAGGAAATGCTAGTTGCCAAATAACGGGGAGTTCTCTGTAGGCGTGCTACACTTGAACGATAAGGTAGACTCTCGCTTCATATGTTTATGTCGTTCAATGTTGGTTGGATCCTTACAAACAGGTTCAAAACGTGTAGATTTTTCTGAGGTGACTGAATTCGTTCAAGGCATGCTGCGAATATTGATAAGCAACCATGTCTTAACTTGGAATGAAGATCTTCAGGTATCTTTTCATTATGTTCTGTCTGAACCTTTCTAATGTGTTCTTATAAAGGAGGCGATGAGGTTGCGTATAAGGAGGAGAGGAGGTGGTAATCGAGAATTCATCGGAATAAAGACATGAAAGTGGGCATCCATGTAAGTGGTATCAATTGGCAAAGCTTGGTGGCACTTTTCCTTTGAGGAAATGCTCAAACAAGGACAAAGCTTGCTGTGGTTTGTCTAGGGGCACCATATGACCGGCTCCGAGCACCGTCAAGAATGTCAATCCATTGTAAGCTTGCGACCAGCCAGCAACCTGCGAAATTACCTTTCGTGTAAGATTTTTCTTGAAGACTATATCACGGGGGATTTATTTCACCTTGTCTTTGTGGCTCCAGGCAAACCATGGCGTTTGCGAGGTCAGATTCAGCTCTTTGATCCAGCTTCTCGTTGAGAGTGTTGATACCACTCCATCGGCATCACCACTGCGAGGAGAGGTGAAAAACCAAAATGGTAAGCTTTTGCAAAGTACCTGTATATCCAGATTCGAAGTTTTTTCTGGATCAAGGATTTGTAGAGCGGTAGCATGGACACAATTATATCGGATGCCTGGTAATACTCTGATGCCTTCGAGCTGGTGCAAAACAAGATCAAAGCTGGTAAAATAAGGATCATACTTGCATGAAAGTATTTACTTGCAGAGCTTCCACGAGTTTGTTGAGTTTCCTGAACTTGCTAAATTCAAACTAGCTTGGACGCTTCGCTGATTGAGGTAACTTTCCGTTTTATCATCGCAAGGATTGTAAGCATTCACCAGCATATTTGTGTGTAGGGACTGAGACTGTAAATACAAGCCAGCTTGTCCTCAGATCGCATGGAAAAGAACAAATGGAGTTTACCGTGATAGACGACCCGTTTTTACACGGAGGTTTGTATATATTGTAGTGACTAAGTCCACTTATCAAGCGGTTCGTGATGGCCGAAGCTCCTTGACAGTTTGGATTCATGGAACCTCCGAGGATTGGGCGCATGGTGGAAAAATCGCAGTTTTGGATCAGCTCGTTGTAAGTCTGCTCTGGAATGAGTGAGTGACTGTAGTAAAATTCAACATCGCCTCGCATGTCATGAGCAGGATCAGTCCAGGCATTTCCTAGCTGCGGTAAAAAAGGGTTACTTCCTTGCTCTTTTCTGTCGTCCATTTCACAGTATCTTACCGAAAATCCTTTCAGGTTGATGATGTTCTTACCATTAGCGTTGTTCTCCAAGATTTTCATAGCCAGAGTCGGGATATAGTGACCTGCGTACTGTTTGAAATCAAAGATCACAGTGACTCGGTAGCATAACTTACCGGAGTAGCTCTCCCCCAACAAGTAAAACTCGTTCTTCGAGTACTCTGGAAAGTTTCTAAACCACTCAAGCAGGAACTGGAGATTATCGGAGGCTACAGAGAATTCTCGTAAGGAAAGTAAGTCGATTTTTACTTGAATGCTCTTACCAGTCATCTCGTCGTTGTAGATTGTATAATCGGAGGTGATGTTGGTGTAAGAGAAACCAGTGCCATGAGGAGACTCCAGAAATATTAAGTTGGCCGCTGCAAAAACTCTCCTTTATCTCCAGAAGCTCAATCGAACGACAATGAAGCCCACCTTTGTTCCATGCATTGCGGCGTTTCTCCAGTTTAGTACCACTAATATCGACGGAGAAAGGTCCGATCTCTCCGAAAGCTCCAGCTCCAACGGAAGAACAACCAGGCCCTGACAAGGCATTCAGTAAGTTTACTCCTCTTCTCCATGCTTGCTCTTAATTGATTTACCTCCTGAAAGCCACAGAGCTAATGGTTGCGATGTTTGATTCTGGTGATCGGCCTCAAAGAACCAGTAAAAGTACGCTCTTTGCGCCGACGCATTCACAACCAAGTGGCCAGCGTACTGCTTGAATTGGACTTGTGGCTGTCCGGGAAGATTTCGAACGAGATGGGAGGGATTTGCTGCCTGCGACGCAACGATAGTGAGCAAGATCAAAACTATCCATGTCAAGCCGGTAGGCATGACCATCTATCTCTATCGATTTATTTCTCTTCGTTCTTCTTCTCCAGGACTTTAATGGTGTTTTGGACGGACAAATCCATAGCCAAGCTGTCGGGAGCTTTCCACAATGAGAGTAACTTGTCCGGTTCTTCGTGTGACCATTTTCTTGTCCAGGAGTTTCCAAACAAAAGGGACTCTAGCTCGAAACAGTAATTGAAGATCTAGATACAAGTGTTGATCGAAATGGCTTTTTTTTCTCTCTCTATCACCGTGATCGTGACGTTAAATTATTCACAAAGATCCAAACAGCCAGCAAGTTGATCCACCGAAAAAAAGAATGGTACAGTAGTGCAGCTCCACTCACTCTCTCTCCTTGTTTTCGTTTCGCTCTAGCTCACTTTTTTCCCATCTTCAGTCCATATCCAAAAGGAAACAGTGGATCATACTCGACATCGCCGTAGTTCATGGGGAGCTGCTCCACGCTCTTGAACCAAGTTCTCGACGACTTCCCCTGGAAGTCATAGTCGCCGAAGATCACGTCGGCGATCCCCTGGCCCTCGCTACCGGGTAGCCACGCCGCCACGAGAGCGTCCATGGAACTTAAGTGCGGTGCTACCACCAGGGGTCTCCCGGAGATGAGGATCACCAAGCACTTGACGGAAGAACACACGCTCTCGATGGTATTGGCTCCGTCCTGTGGGATCGTCAAGTTGAGATTGTCACCTTGGGTCTCGGCGTATGGCGGCTCCCCGACCACGACGATCGCAAAGTCGTAGCCGCCACCTTTCACCGACGAGGAGCTCGGGGATTCCTCGTAGACAACCTGGGTGTTCTTGCTCACGGTGTTGGAGATCCCTTGCAAGATTGTAGTTCCTGGAAGATTGGAAGAGAGCTGTGTCAATGGATGTGTTCTTGAGGACATGGTGATGGAAGTTTTAAGAGTTTCGAGTTGGTGTACCAAGAGTTGTGTTGCCGCTAGCGCCTTGCCAGGTGATGGTCCATCCTCCGCATTGATTCCCGAGATTGTTCGCGTGGCTGCCAGCGACGAGGATCTTCGACGCTGTTTTGCTCAGTGGCAGCAGTGGATACTTGGCATTCTTGCCGTTCTTCAAGAGAACCAGGGTCTTCCGTACGGCCTCTCTCGCGAGATCTCTGTGAGCCTGGCAGCAAAGTTTACGTGATAAGAATGCGAAAGTTCGAGCTTCAAGGGCGGCTTACCCCGATCTGGCTGCGGTACGAGCTATCGGACTTTGGATGCTCGAACAAGCCCGCCGTGAATTTCACAAAGAGGATTCTTCGCACCGCGTCGTCGATCCTGTCCAGCGAGATGAAACCTTGCTTCACCAGAGACGTCAGAGTGTCGATGAACTTGGTGTACTCATACGGCACCATGATCTGGCAAGCAAAAAGTCATTAACTTCTGGCGAAACGAGTAGAAAAAAGAGAGCTCCAGTTGGTAAACTGGGAGAGAAGCACGATTTTCTCACCATGTCAATCCCAGCAGTCACTGAGACGAGCACTGAGTAAGTGTAGTTGGCACCCGCCGGGTTGGTGATCCTGTCAATGCCTTGCCAGTCGGAGATCACGAATCCCTGTTGGTAAAGTTCACGAGCAAAGGTTTCAATCCAATCCAGCCAAGTACAGGAGAAAGAAAACTCAGTCCAAAACACAAACCAAAGTTTTCAATCCAACCAAGAACTGAAAAGCAAAGTTGAGAACTCGAGAAAGAAAAGCAAAGTTTTCAGCCAAAGCCAATCTCAAGAAACTTCTCTTCGAGCATGACAGATTTTCACACACCTTGAATCGCAGGCGCTTCTTGAGGATATCGGTGATCAGATGCCGATTTTTGTGCATCTTAATCCCGTTCCAACTCGAGTAGGAGATCATGACTGTCGACACACCTTTGTCGATGGCATCGAAGTAAGGCAGCATATGAGTTCCGACGAGACGCTTGTAGCTGCCAACGGTGTTGTTCTCGTTGATCCCACTCCTCGTCCCGCCATCGCCAACATAGTGCTTTGAGCAAGCAGCGACCTTGGAGCTGGAAAGCCAAAAAAAGTGTAAGAACTCTTTCCAATGGAGATCAAGTTTGATCGAACTTACCTTCCTCCGACGTATGGAACTCCTTTGGCCGGGGTCTCCCCTTGAAGCCCCGAGATAATCGTCGTCATAGCCTTGACCAGCTCCGGGTGCTCGCTGTAGCTCTCGAAGCATCGGCCCCATCTTGGATCCCGGCAAACCTGGAAAGAACAATGACTTCAGTTCATACATCACTACCGAGGAGAAAAAAAAAAATCGCTTGGCTAGAAAGAAAAACACTAAGGTCGTCTAAGAACACGAAGAACAAGGAAAATGCTTAGGAAAGATTACCGCAACGCAAGGAGCAAAGGTGTACTGGATCCCAGTTGCTCGGACTTCCAATGCCGTGGCCGCTCCAATGCGTTTAACCAAGTCGGGATCTCTGCCGGGAGCCAAAGTAAGAGAAGAGATATCGAGTGATCCACAAGGCTTGTTCTTGCTTACCCGGCCGATCCAAGGCCGACGTTGTGAGGAAAAATGGTGGCTCCATAGACATTGTTGTGGCCGTGAACAGCGTCGATGCCATAGATGATTGGAATCCCCAGCCTCGTCGCCAGTGCCCCGTCTTGGAGCCCATCGACGAACGCCGCCCATGTCGCCGCCGAGGCGCGCGGCGCTGGAACGCTCCCTCCGCCGCTCAAGACACTCCCTAAGATCACAAGAGATCTTAAAAACCTTTAGGAAGAACTTATGTCGTAAAGGGAGAGATCTTCTCTCTCTCTCTCTCCCTCTCACTTTCTTTTTTTTTGGTATCTCTTGTGTCTTACCGATGAAGTACTTGGTGATGACGGATCCGGTAGCATTCTCTCGCTCGATCTGTGTCATCTGCCCAATCTTCTCCTCGAGCGTCATGCGGGAGAGAAGATCCTGGACGCGAGCATGGATTGGCTGCGATGTATCCTTGTACAATGCTGCCCGAGAGAGGGAGGCATCGAATGCTAGAAGCAGCAGTAGGAGCAGCATGGAACGAGCACGGAGAAGCGATGAAGCAGCCATGGTCATTGGCTCCGAGAGAGCTCCGAGAGAGCTCAGACAGAGAGAGAGAGAGAGAGGGAGAGGAGAGAGAGATTAGCACAAAGCACAAACTTTATATAATCTGTGAAGAGAAGTATCTCTATTGTTTACGGCTGCTGGATCACCACTTGGAAGATCCAAACTCCGGACACATAATTTGACCCGAGCTTTCGTTGGGTGAAAGAGATAAATCGGATGATCGAGAGATTGGGCACCATGACTTGGACAGCCAAAAAATAAAAAAATCGAAAAATCGAAAAAAATAGTAAAAATTTGTTCTAAAAGTGTGGACCTTTTGCGTGGAGCCGTCCGCCCAAGCCTCACATCCGACGGCCCAGAGAAGAGATACGTTGTATAGACAGGCACTGGCGAATAAAACCCTTTAGGTGGACGATCAGCAATCAACCAAACAAGTGTTTCTTGACTTGGGCTCTTTGAATTTTTTGATCGATCGTGTCGCCGGCCTCCCGTTAAACACCATCCTGATTCACTCTCTCTCCGCTTACCTGGCGATGACGTGGCATCAGCCCTCCCTTTTGTTTTATCTCCAGCGCACTCCCTCTCCCGTCCGTCGCCGCTGCACCCTCCCGCCCGCGGCTATCGCCCGCCCGCGGCTCCCGCCCGCCCGCTCGCCCTCACGGCTCCCGCCCGCACTCCCACCCGCCCCCGCACGTCCGCCCGCGCCCAGCGTGCGCCCTAAAATTACTTCCACGTGGCCACAGCCCCAACACTTAGCCAAATTTCAATCAGCGCGCGCGTGGACGCCTTTCTACGTGCTTTATGTGGCCAATGAGTGTCATGGATGATCATCCATTAGGAGTGGTAAACTTATGAAATCTTCTCATTAATTTAAATATATGCAATGTAAGTATATAAAGAGTTTGTTTTTTTATTTATTCTTTGCTAAGATTGAGTTTTTCGTTTAAAGAGCTTTTCTTTCTTGTCTTCCTCTGCCTAGTAAAAGGAGTTGCTTCTGGATTACTAGAAGCTTTTCTTTTACCTGTAATTCTTTCCACCAAAGGTTTTGCTCGCTTCAAGGATATACCATAACTATCAACACGTTGTTGAAATTCTGCTGCAGGATGAATAAGATCGTCTGGCCTGGCTTTAAAAGTTGCAACCTTCTGCTGTATCATTTCTAAATCGTTGTCAACCATAGATAAAAAAGCTTCTTCATCAGGAAGATCTTGTATGATATCCATCATCTTTTGTTGTAGTGTCGCTTTTGTAACTTTTGATGGAGTGATATCTTCCTGCTTAAAGTTCATATCAATATTTAAAATTTACTTAGTGTAAATTACCTCTATAGTAGTCCTTAGCTGAATTTCTTGTTGATGCTGTATATTTTGATGGATATCTTCCTGCTCAATATTCATATATCTTAGTATATAAAATATGTTAGTTTACCTCTAATGTAGTCTCCAACTGAATTTCTTGCTCATGATAAACATCTTGATGGATGTTTTCCTGCTCAAATTTTTATAAGTATTTCAAAATTTTAATTAATAAGTGAATTACCTCTGTCATAGCTTCCAAGTCAAGTGCTTCAAAATCTTGATGACGATAAAATAAATCATCTGGCCCAGGTTCTAAGATTGCATGCGATTGTGATGGTTGAACCTCATAACTAGTTGTAGTCCAATCGGTTTTTTCTCCTTGTTTTAACATAATAACTTTTGCTTGATGCTTGCAAAAGTTTCCTTTAATTGCCCACGGACAATTACACCAAGTCGAAAAAGCCCAATCACTGTGTCCTTCACCTCCGACAACAAGATACCATATAGTTGGATCTGAAGAGGATTGTACATAAGATTTGTGAGTATTGTCCTTATCGAATTTTACTTGAGAGTCGTTAATATTTCTTGCTTTAACAATCGCACCATCGATTAGCTTTTCATATACATGGTTTCGGATAAAACCATGATCTTTGCAATAAGTAGTAAACCAGTACCTCGCATGAACCTTAGTAGTAAGTTGATGAATTGCCCAATCCATCCTTCGATTGCGAGCATGTTTTTTATCGGACGAAAGTATAGCTTTCATATTTGCATGGAATGCCTCAATCGAACTATTTGTTTCCTTATTAGCATGAGGGAAATTTCGAGCAGCAACAACCCACATATCTATCAAATATAAATTAAAATAAATTATAAAAATTAAATTATTGATTCACTTACCAACTTTGTCCTTCCATTCGTCTTGAAAATACTTGATAAAAGCTACTTCATTTTGAAAATCCACCTCAAAATGTTCAATAAGTTGTTTAATCTCAGCTCGCATAATATTATCATCATGAAAAGCTGCATGAATTGAATGATACATAATATCTCCGAGACGTTTCCATATTTCCATCCTAATATCCCAAGATTTCACCTTGCGAATAATATGTTTGAGCCAATTCCTCCTTACATGCCAAATACATAATAGAATTTGACAATCAAATGTAGCTCTATATAGAAGAAAACAATTAAATTATTTCATATCAAATTAATTACCTTATAGCATTAATCTCTGCTTCAGCATCATCAATCATTATCGCCCGTGGTTTCCAGTTTGGCATGTGTTCTAAAACTCGTTTTTTAAGAGCTATCATCCAATTCTTCATATGTTCTCCTTTCTCACTAGAAGTTAAAACCCATGCAATTGGAATACCATTTCCATGATAATCAAAAGCAAGCATGGTGTATAATGGGAACTGTAAATTATTAAGTATTAATCACTTAAAACTGAATGAAAATATTACCTTATAGCGATTAGTTCCAAAAGTTGCGTCAAGACTCAATAAATTATTATTTGAAAAGTCCACCATCTTTTGTAGTTGCCAAGTTGTCTGAATCCCAATAGTAAAACAATCTTTACCTCGATCACCTTCCTGATAGAAAAATACTTTCTCGGGATTTGTGTTCTTCCAAATACGTACACTCTGTGCATCATTCTCATGTAATCGATAAGTTGAAAGCGAATACTTCCTATGCAAATTGTTGATATCCTGCATAGTTAGAAAATCATCTCGATGAGGAGGTTCACCAGCTGACTTGTTCCTTTCCACAATCTGTATATGCTCATTATAAATCTGATTTGATGTGAAATCCTGCTGAATCATATGAATCACCCAATATCGAATATCTGCTGAAAGCTTCTGAGGAAATAATGACTTTCCTCCAGTCGGATCAAGTTGACCATGACAAGGAATCCCATTCTTATCACAATGTTCTCTATGATAATATGTAATCTGCACATAATCAGGCCATTTGTAAAACTGTTTGACCAAAAAATTGCAAAGGCAGCCCCGCTTATTAGAACTTCGACCTGGTCTACTTCCAAATCCTGACTTTGGTGTAGATTCAGCAACTATAATAGAGGATGTTTCACGAGCATCTTGTTTTCCATATTCACACCAATACCTGTAGCATGAAGTTAGTAATTATATTTTATTAAAAAGATATACCTGATTAATGATAAAAAGCTTGTGTTTTTGGGTCGTTTCAAATCTCCAGGATCACGATTTTTGTTAGAAAATCGCCAAAAATCCACTCCATCACCCCTTCTCCTCTCACCATCTAGAAACTTATTCACATCCTTCTGGAATATATACACAATAGGAGCAATAGTTTCATTTGATTTAGACAAATTCCAATCTAAATCATCTGCACAAAAATAATCCTTTTCATGGAATTCTTGCACCTCATCAAGCCATGGGGGATCCTAAATGATTTTCTTGAATCAATATGAAATTGAATTGATTGCTTACCTCTGGAAATTGATGTGCTGCTGCCATGCTTGATCATAAAAGAAACAGAAACGTTTTTAGGTCAATTATGGGGCAACCATCCGGCGTGAATGGGTGGACCAGGGCGCGCTGATTGAAATTTGGCTAAGTGTTGGGGCTGTGGCCACGTGGAAGTAATTTTAGGGCGCACGCTGGGCGCGGGCGGACGTGCGGGGGCGGGTGGGAGTGCGGGCGGGAGCCGTGAGGGCGAGCGGGCGGGCGGGAGCCGCGGGCGGGCGATAGCCGCGGGCGGGAGGGTGCAGCGGCGACGGACGGGAGAGGGAGTGCGCTGGAGATAAAACAAAAGGGAGGGCTGATGCCACGTCATCGCCAGGTAAGCGGAGAGAGAGTGAATCAGGATGGTGTTTAACGGGAGGCGTGTCGCCGCAACGTCTGGATCGACAACGCTTTTGGAGGGTTGCGAGTTATATCGGCTCGCGCAGAGAGTTCTTTCTAGTTCGCTGTCCAGCACACAAACGACGTGGGTTTCATGATCCGAGAGGATCAATCCCCCGACACTATCCGGCTGGAATTGACAGAGCTTTGATCAAGGAAAAAGAAATGGCCTTTGGAAACGGTCGAATCCAGCTTAACAAAACTAAACATTCAACAACCACGATTTTAACATTTGTTCTACTGTACGAACTCAAAAAAACTAGGGACGTGGTGAGGAGTCTTATGCTAGGCATGTTGATTCATAAATATAGACATTGATGGCACCAAGGTTCTAGAAATTCAAAGCTATCCCCAAGAGACGTGCGAATCTGCCCTAGAACTCGTATCTGTGCTCCATGAAGCTGGGAATCCTCCAAGACTGTAGACTGGGAAAATTGGATCCAATAGTGAGCCTACGTGAATTGATTTTAGATGCTTGTATATCGATCATGACAATGGAGTCTAATTGTTCCGGATCAATGTCTCCAGCAATAGCAACACTTGGAGTTTCATCTGGGACAACAACGTATGAATCTCTATGGCAATTTGCTCGTCCCTTGGTGACAAAGGTGGCGGCGAGGAAGTTTATTCCTAGGATCTCTACCACATTTATTTTGATACGCAATCTTAAAGGTATATTTATCCTCTTTTTTTTTTTGTTGCGGTAAGCCCTAGTTAGGGTTCTTCGCGAGCTATGGATGATGCGCATGCGCGATCCGTGAGCCAGGTGCGGCATTTCCAGGAAAATGTGCGATCTCTCATCAGCGGCGTGCAGGTGCTCGCGTATTTTCGAGTGGATCCGTCTCACGGTCTTGCGGATTCCCAGGTAATTTCATTTCGGGCAGGATGATCTTTCACATACAATTGCAAGTGGCATGTTCTTACGTACAGGTGGAAGAAGCGCGATCTCTCTATGGATGCAATGGTATGTTGCAGTGAGCTTCTCGATTCTCTCTAATCGATTCGTTTTGTTTGCTTCCAGAGTTGCCTCACGAGGGCGGTGAGTGGATTTTTTCCTTTCTTTTGTGTGTGTTTTAGCTCCTGTCTGATCGAAGAATTGCAGGTGCTTCTTTCTGGAAATTGGTGCTCAAGCAATTCGATGATCTTCTGGTGAAAATATTGATATTTGCGGCCATTACTTCGCTCGTGCTGGCTGTTGTGGATGGTGAAACGGGCTTCACGGCGTTCGTGGAACCATTTGTGAGTTTTGTTTTCTCTTTTGATGAATCGAGCCGGTTTTGATGTTGCGCTACTCAGGTCATTCTGTTGATACTGGCAGCAAACGCGACTGTTGGAGTCGTCACCGAGACCAACGCGGAAAAGGCTCTCAAGGTTCGTTGGTATGCATTTTTTTGGGCTTAAGCATTTCGGCTACCAGGAACTGAAAGCGTACCAAGCGGATGTAGCAACAGTACTTAGAAATGGTACGAATGAATTTTGCCAGAGTTTTATATGGTACTATTCTTTACTCTTCAGGACTGTTGTCGATTGTGCCTGCTTCCAATCTTGTTCCCGGAGACATTGTCGAAGTCGCAGGTAGTATACTTTCAGTAACCGAGAATTGTACAACTAAAAACTGTTTTAGTCGGCTGCAAGGTACCGGCTGATATGCGAGTTATCGATATGCTAAGCAGCAGCGCTCTCAGGGTCGATCAAGCCATCTTGACCGGTACGTCCATCAAGAATTTTTTCAATTGCTGAACGTAAGCTAGTCCAGGCGAAAGCAGCTCCGTTGCTAAGGAGCTTGAAGAAAATCCAGTCATTAATCCTGTGTATCAGGATAAAACCAGTATACTCTTCTCGGTAAAAAGCTTCACGTAGTGTCGATCGTTCTTACACTTACACTAGAATTTCCAGGGAACCAATGTTACTGCCGGGCGTGCTCGGGCTATCGTTGTCGCAACAGGTTCTGAAACCGCAATGGGGAAAATTCACAGTGCGATGTCAGAAGTCACAGAGGTTAGTATTTTTTTTAAAGGACTTTGTTTTTTCTTTTTTCCTTCTATATATTTTTAACTTGTGCTCCTGCAGGAAATGACTCCTTTAAAGAAACAACTTGACAATTTTGGGGAGTTTCTGTCGAAGGTATCTGTTCTTTGCAACTTGAAAATGCCTCATGCCAGCTTATATAGGTCATTGCTGGCATCTGTGTTCTTGTATGGGTAGTTAACATTGGCCACTTTCGTGACCCGGCTCACGGAGGCATACTTCGTGGTGCCATTTACTACTTGAAGGTACGATTTACTGTAAACATTACCGGCTTAACGCTCTTTCAGATTGCTGTTGCATTGGCGGTCGCTGCCATTCCAGAGGGGCTTCCTGCAGTGGTGACTACGTAAGTTTCATGTTTCTATGGGATACATCCGTCTAAAGTTTGTTTGTTTGTTTCTTTGTTGTAGATGCCTTGCACTTGGAACCAAGCGAATGGCTAGCCTGAATGCAATTGTTCGGTCTTTACCAGCAGTAGAAACGTTGGGCTGTACAACTGTTATTTGCAGTGACAAGACTGGGACTCTCACAACAAATATGATGTCCGTGACGAAGGTGACTCTTAACCGGTCTTGTGTTATCTTCTAATTTTTAAGTTTGCAGATATGTGTTGTTGAATCTGCTGCAACATTATCCGAATTCACTGTCACTGGTACATCATATGCTCCCGACGGTGTGATACAAAATGCAAACAATCAACAGGTTATAAGAACCTTGTCTAAAATTGAAAGGGGCTCTAAATTACAGTGACGCAGATTGATTATCCAGCGGCACTTCCAAGTCTTGTTCAAGCGGCAATATGCTCTTCTCTTTGTAATGACTGCAGTATTCAGTACAATGCTGAGAAAGATATCTACGAAAAGATTGGGGAGTCTACAGAAGTTGCTCTTCGAGTGTTCAGTGAAAAGGTGAGGTGCTAATGGTTTTTTAAATAACACAATTTTTTTTACTGGAACTGTATAGGTTGGACTACCAGGTTTTGATTCCATGCCAACATCATTATCGGTGCTTAGTAAACAGGAACGTGTTTCTTATTGTAATCGATACTGGGAAAGATACTTGAAAAAGGTAAAGGCTGAAGTAAGACAAGCTGTTTGTCTCATTTGATGGTGCAGGCCTTCGTATTAGAGTTTTCACATGACCGAAAGATGATGAGTGTTCTCTGCTCGAATGACGAACGAACAGTTTTGTTGTCAAAAGGGGCTCCCGAAGTGATTTTACAACGTTCAAGTTACGTGGTCTGTAACCAGGACGGCTCCGTGACAAAATTGAGCCCCGAACTTAAATTGTCTCTCGAGGAGAAATTTCACAGGCAAGACTTAATTTCTTTAGATGCCTTGTTATTAAACTTATTACCATGCGCAGTTTTGCTTCTCAGGAAACTTTACGATGCATTGCGCTTGCGTACAAGGACGTCCCTACTGGACAACAAACTCTAACCGAGGACGATGAAAACGGTTTAATTCTCATAGGAATGGTAAAATCATCATGCCAATGCCATGTTGTTACTAATGGTTTATTTAGGTGGGGATGATGGATCCCCCTCGACCAGAGGTTAAAGCAGCCATTGCGACTTGCAAGTCTGCTGGTATACGAGTTGTTGTCATCACCGGGGACAACAAGGTTGTACTATCTATCGTTTTGAGTCAAACTATTTAAAGGTGTCATTTTGATGCAGAAAACAGCAGAAGCTTTATGCCATCGTATCGGTGTTTTTGACAAGTCAGACGATGTTTCAAGCAAATCGCTCACGGCAGCAGAGTTTGACAGCCTGACACCTATGCAGCAAGCTGTTGCTGTGCAAAATTTGGTTCTTTTTTCAAGGTAACACAGGAGGAATGCAATGACTCTTTCATAATTGTTAGCATGTTGCAGGGTAAATCCGTCTCATAAGTCTATGCTTGTTGATGTCTTAAAGCGTCACAAGGAGGTGGTATGTATTATGACAGCCTTTGTCCATGACACTATGCTGTTTATTTGTAGGTCGCGATGACTGGAGATGGTGTTAACGATGCTCCTGCTTTGAAACAAGCGGATATTGGAATAGCAATGGGCTCCGGCACTGCAGTGGCAAAGGTGAGCTCAAACAACGAATAAGAATATCGCAATCTTTTAATATTTACGCAGGGTGCTTCAGACATGGTTTTAGCTGACGACAATTTCGCTACAGTAGTTGCGGTAAGCTAGTGTTGTGCATTATGATTTTGGATTTAGTTTCAAGGCAGGCAGTTGCCGAAGGAAGAGCAATTTATAACAATACCAAGCAGTTTATACGCTATATGATATCATCAAATATCGGAGAGGTTGTCTGCATTTTTGTAGCCGCTGCTTTGGGACTTCCCGAAACACTAATTCCTGTAAGATGAGCTTTTTAGTTTTTTTTTCTTTTTCTTCTGAACATTATGCCGTGCAGGTACAACTTCTTTGGGTTAATCTTGTGACAGATGGATTGCCTGCTACTGCTCTTGGATTTAACAAGCAAGACCGTAATGTCATGATGGCCAAACCTCGAAAGGTTACAATTGTTAAAAAAGTTCCGCGTTTTAACTGGATCCTTTTGTAGCTCAGATGGACGAAGCAATTGTGAATGGCTGGCTCTTTTTTCGCTACATGGTTGTCGGCGGTAATGACCTGATAATTACTTTGTTGTGCTTTTGCTCACACGTTCCATGCAGCCTACGTTGGTTTAGCTACAGTCGGCGGCTTCATATGGTGGTTTCTGTATCATGAAGAGGGGCCTCGCTTGACTTGGAAGGAACTGGTAAGCTTGCAAAACTTCCAATACAGTGCTAGAGTCTATCTGCGCAGGTTAGCTTTAACGAGTGCAAGGATGGAACCATGCGCTATTCCTGTTCAGTATTTCGAGATCGTCACCCGTCCACAATATCAATGAGTGTTCTTGTTGTGGTGGAAATGTTCAATGCCATGAACAACCTCAGTGAAAATCAGAGCCTCCTGTAAGTTCTGCTTTTGTATTTTCTCCTGTTTATTATGATTTTTCTGCTCCAGAGTTCTTCCTCCCTGGAGTAACATGTGGCTGATGGCTTCGATCGGTGTTTCAATGCTGCTGCATTTTTTGATCCTGTATCTTCGGCCTCTGTCTCTGCTGTTTTCGGTAAGAATTTGGACTTCTCTTTGCTTGTCCTTTTAATCACATAGGATGATCAGGTGACACCATTGTCCTGGGCAGAATGGAAAGCAGTGTTGTGGTTTTCATTTCCGGTAAGACTGAAACTTTGCACGTCAGTGACTTCGCTAACTTGAGTGATACACAGGTCATTCTGGTGGACGAAGTCCTGAAAGTGTTGTCAAGACAAACTAGAGGTAAGCCTCTGGAATTTTTTTCTTATCTCGCTCTCCCGGATTTCTCATCGCCATTTCAGCTAGGAAATTTGGATTAAGACGTAGATCCGAGCTGCTGCTACCAAAGAGCCAGACGCGGCGGGTGTAAAGAGGGAAGAAAATTCGTAAGCATATGCTGCTCTTTTGAAATTGGCGTTAGGTCTTGTGTCCGCACATCTGGACCGTTTATCGCGAAGAATCCGTCCGCCATGGCGCTCAAAGGGCACCAATGGAGACTATTGGCGCATTCAGCACTCCGTGGCTCCTTCGCTCCATAGCGTTTTTACTCGAGAGGTCTTGCAGAGGCGACGAGTTTGATCCGGTTCCTACCGTGGCTACCCCTGGCGCTGGTTTAGGGAGAGAGCTCTTTCATCTCCATGTAAAAAGAAGAGCGATCAGGTATGTCGTGTTTCTCTATTTCTGATTGTTTCTGTTTTTTTTTTCCTTTGATCCAGATGGTGTAGAAGGAAAAGAAGGCTTGAAAAACATGGAGATGGGACGGGCAAGAACGCGGTTTGAGGAAGTTTTACAGGCATATGTCGACACTTCGAAGTCAGTAGTTGTTTTTTCTGTCTTGCTCCGTGATCGCTTGTTTTGGAGCTAAAACTTGGCCAAACGTCAGGGTGGCGGAGGAGCACCGCTGTGATGAACACAATGCCGTCATTTTGCTTCAGGTATGCTACTTTTGTTTTTGTTTCTGGACGCTCTTGAGCTGTGGTAATTGTCCCGCAGTGCGCATGGCGAAGAAGAATGGTGTATAAAATGCTAAGGAAATGGAATTGTGCTGCTACTCATATCCAACGTGTGTATCGTGGTCATTTGGGACGAGAAAGACATCACTCCATTACCCTGGCGAGGGACACGGCTCTCAGAATGGCGTACTTCAACCACAAGGCCACGTTGATACAGAAGAGATTTCGAGGCTATTACAGCAGAAAGTATGTCCACAGCTTCCACGCTAGGAAAGAGTTTTTGCTGGACGTGATGGCCAAGGCCACTGACGTGAAGCAGCACCTATCTGAGAATTACAAGGAGCAGTGCAACTACAGATGCAAAGAAGCAGCAAGGAAAACACAGGAGGAGATGCACAAGTTCATGGAAAACAGCCATTGCTTAGTACGAGTTTTTGTTTTTGATTTTCTCTTGTCTTTAGATCGCTTACGAACTTTTATGTCTTGCAGCTGGGCACTGAAGCTATCAAAGGAGTGTATTACTCTCCATGTCTCTCAGTTCTCGGGGCGCCAAACCAGGTGGAGGCCAAAATCAAGGAGGCGAGAAAAATGCGGGATTGCGCAGACGACATGAAGAGGTCGAGACGGATAAAGAAGAAGCCACCGCCAGAGCTGTGGAGACACATGCACATAACGACGGTAGGACCATACGTGACGAGGTTTGAGACTCTGAGGCAAGAGGAGAAGCAAAAGAAGCTGTTCCAGCACGCCGACAGCGATTTCACGACAACTTTCAAGGACCGGACGAACGTGTTCAAGGGAAAGACGCTGCGGCTCCAGACGGAGTACAGTGGATTGAGGAGAAAAAAGAACAAAGAGGAGGGGTGGAAGAAGATCTCGGACAAGCCATTCTTTGTCAGCATACCTCCGCGTCGCAGGTTTTCGTGTGGAGGTAAGTAGTCTCAAAGCTCTAGTTTAGCTACGTCGCAGGTTTCTACGTTACGAGTTGCTAGCTTTAGTTTAGCTACATCGCAGGTTTCTATGTTTCGAGTTGCTAGCTTTCGTTTAGCTCAACGCGAATTTTTGCTTTCGCTTTCTAATCGTGCCATTGCTTTTATTTTAAGTTGACACCGATTTCGAGCATGCGATTAGTTTCTCGAGTGTCGGAGATGGATGGATTTCACCGAATTGCTGCAACACTCGAAAGGAAAAAGAGACTCCTCCAGCCTGAGCACAGGCTTTGAATGTTCATCGCTTTTACCAAAGTGACGCTGGGCGGAGGGGAGGTCCCTTTTCAGCTGACAGTGGCTTTCCAACGGAAAAAGATAAAGAAAGATTTCGTGCAAAAGGCTGGTGCTCGCTGCTCGCCGCTGCTCGCTTGCTTTCCATCGTCTGCCGCATTCTCTCTCGATTCATCCTCTCGAGCACGCTTTGCCACTGGGTCGTCTTGTCCGCTTCCACCCGACGCCCGCTGCGGAAATTGATGGATGGAAGCGTTGATCACTGCGAGTATATATCGCAAAGTCTTTGCAGCGGCAGAGGCCGGATGTAGCGGTCCCGGCGCGCTGAGGCATCATGCATTTGATCTGTGGTGGTGGTGGTGGTGGTGTGTTCTTCCACAGATCTTGCGCATTGTGGCTGCTCGTAATTCTCCTCCCGCAATGTTGGGTGGCTTCTCAATACGAAGGAGAGCAAGGGATGTTCTACTCCAACAATGAACAGGGAATGTTTTATCGTGATGATGATCAATCATGGTCCGGTGGTGCATTTCAAGGAGGAGCGTTTCGAGACGATCGTGAGCGGTACTGGCGGGAGTCAAATCCAGACCCGTATCCAGATCCAAACCCCTCGCAACTTCAGCAGCCCGATCAGGTTGTGTCTCAGCAACAGATTCCGAATCAACCTCCGCAACAGATTCCGCAGCAGGTGCAGAATCCGAACCAGTTTCCGCAGCAGGTTCAGAACCAGAACCCAAATCAGCCGCAAGTTCAGAACCAGAACCAGAATCAACAACAAGTTCAGAGCCAGAACCAGAATCAACAACAAGCTCAGAACCAGAACCAGAATCAACAACAAGCTCAGAACCAGAACCAAGTGGTCAGAGGATTTTATGACCAGAGCTGCCCATCAGCGGAATCCGTCGTCCGGAGGACCATGGTGGACAGCTTCCGGCGGAACCCGCTGCTGGCCGCCGGAATCCTCCGGCTCTTCTTCCATGACTGCTTTGTCCGAGTAAGTTGGAGACTTTTGGAAAAGATTGATCGATCTGTAACTCGACAATGCAGGGTTGTGATGGATCGGTGCTGCTGGATCGAAAACCCGGCGGACCCATCCCCGAAAAGGAGAGCGACGTGAACAACAACTCCATCACTGGCTTCCGGGTGATTGACGACGCCAAGAAGCGCTTGGAGCGGATGTGCCCGGGAGTCGTGTCGTGCTCGGACATCCTCGCACTGGCTGCTCGAGACGCCGTTTGGATCGTAAGTCCTGATAGAAAAGAAAACTTTCCATTTCCTTTTAGTGACACGAAATGCCTTCCGGGTTAGAGCAGAGTGGAGGACCTCGCTGGAGTGTCCCGACGGGACGTCTGGACGGGCGAGTCTCGCTGGCGACGGAAGCCGATAACGAGATTCCACCACCGGATCTCCGAATCCGGGACTTGAGAAAGGCATTTCTCGCCAAGGGCCTCAACACCCACGACGTCGTCACCCTCTCAGGCTAGTAAAACATTTTCTCTTTAATTATACAGCGTTTGCCTAGTTTCGGCATTTGCTAAAGATTGTAAAGTTCTTTCACAGGCGCGCACACTATCGGTCGAGCACACTGCCCCGCCTTTGAGGACCGCCTCTACAACTTCTCCGCAACAAACGCGCCAGATCCCACCGTCAATCTGTCGCTGCTGGACTCGCTCCAAAAGATTTGCCCCAGGGTTGGGAATACCACCTTCACGGTGAGCCTGGATCGCCAGACCCAAGTCCTGTTTGACAACAGCTACTACGTCCAGATCCTGGCCAGCAATGGGCTCCTCCAGACCGATCAGCAGCTCCTCTTCGACGCCTCCACCGCGGGGTTGGTGCGAGCGTACGCCGCCGATTCGTCCATGTTCTTCCGCGCCTTCGCCAAGGCCATGATCAAGCTCAGCAGGGTGGGTTTGAAAGCTCCTGGCGAGGGCGAGATCCGGAAGCACTGCCGTCGTGTAAATCCATGACCCAAAATGGCCGCTATGATAGTTGAGTACTTGACAATAAAATTATAGATGGTTAGCCTCGTCTGCGCGACCCAATCGATAGCACGAAGCTTGCATCCATGAACGCTGGACCACGAACTTTGCAACTTTTTGGTTTCCGCAGTGTCCCACTTCACAACGTGTGTTGCCATACTAATGCATGAATTCAGCTCCCTGCTGTTGGCTTCGAAACTAAAGAGGGGAGCACGCCAGCGTCCGTCATCCAGCTCTCTCACTACGTCCCGGACGTCCCTCGGGAGAAGATTATCCCGGAAGAACTCACTGTGGATCCGTTTTAATCCTTGGAGCACATTGGTCAGAGAGCCAAAGTTTTCTCTTTCGTCCATCCGCCGAAAGGTAAAGCAACCCGTCTCCGGCAAACCACGCTTGCGACAGCTGGACTTAAAGAAGTGGTAACGATTAGTGACATGGATCAAGTTTTGGCAGTCCTTCGGCCACGCGCTTCGACTGTCGTCCACGATCAAAGTGATTGATTCCTTCCCTGGAACAACATTTTCCAAGTACTTCTTGGGCTTCCCCTGGCCCTCCAATCTGGAAAAAACCCGACCCTTGAACAGCTTTCCCGTTGGATCTAGCAGCTTGGTCATGGCCATCGCATATTTATGTGATCCAGTGGTGCATATGTACAATTCGAAGATCTTACTAGCATGATTGAGGAATTCCAGTGCAAAAGGCCGAATCTTGGTCCATTTCTTAAAACCCTTGTGAAGAAGCTTGCGTTGACCTTCACTTTGCTGAGCGTACAGAGATTCCAAGTACTTACTTTCCTCCTTATCAACCTCGTTAAAAGCTGCCGAATTCAAGAGTGTGTGGTCGAGATCAAGCACCAAGATGAGCTTGCGCTGCTTCAAACAATCTTCTTCTTTGCTGACCAAGGAACCCATTTTCTTTCGAGATAACCTAGGGCTAGAATGCATATGTATATACTTTTCCCAAAAGGGAGTTAAGGGTGTCTGAGGAGCAAACTCTCGAAGTTCTTGACCGAGCTCTCCAACCAGGAAGGGAAATCTCTCGCTCAATCAGCTCCAAAGTTCTTGATCACTGAGTCACAATGAGCCCATACACAGTGCTGGAAAGATGGCAAGGATTCAAATATAATTCCTGTTTATTTTAGAAATTTAAGCAAGCGTGTTAGGGTTTTTGGGAAGAAAATTTTTGTTCACATGTATACACAACGTCGAAGGTTTGGATTGAGCACAGTGACCGCCCGGCAGCACAGTTCGAGGTCGGCGCAGATGGTTTGATCGACGTAGCTTTGCGAGGATTTCTTCCTCGATCCGAAAGATTTCAGGAGTGGCCATCCCGTGGTAAGCCAATTAGAACTCTAGATTCTTTCCTGCGGGCGGCCACTAGGCGACTTGCAAGACCTAGAGTATTCGATCTCGACTCCTCAAGCTCTTTATGTGTTGCTGGCCTTATTCTAGAGTATACGGACGAAGGAAAGAGTATAGACACTCTCCGGACTGTTCAAGCTGTTGCAGTCAATTGCCAGCCATCAGGCCCTGCATATCCACCATCTTCCATCCGCCCGGGAGTTCCTGAATCGTGAGTTCTGGTGCTATCCCGCCAGTTCCCCCCATACTCCCGAGAAAACTTTACAACCCCAAACCAGCCAGTCCTCCATCTGATCGGCCGCAACAGCATCTGGATACTTTTCTTTAAGAGAATACGGCCAGTCAAGGCTGCTTTCTCGAGACAGTTGGTGCAAAAGCGCTTGTGTGCATCTTCACTAGTTCATCCAGAGCTTGTTGTATCGCACGAAGAAGACGCATCAACTGCGGGCACTGAAAGTAAGCTTCTATCCACAGCGTGAAATTACCTAGAGCAAACGAGCATCATGAAATTACCTAGAGCAAACAAGCAGGGTCAATGGCTGATAAATAGCCTTGTCGTGATATATAGCCCCGCCAATGCGATTGTTGGTGCCAACGAGCTCTCTGGACACCCCGTGCAGTAGTGCTGACTTACACCAGAGCTCTGTGCAGCATCGTTCGCATAATGAAAGAGGGCCTCCAAAAGTGCCTCGCCGTTGAATCCCATCTCTGGTTTCACCATGCAGGAGTCACCGGTGTACCCTGTATTGTAGCTTTCACCTGGACATCAGGAGCACTCCTCACGCTGCAGTGATCGCGCCATCTTTTCCCGAGACACTGCCTCGAGCTCCTGGTTATCAACGACCTTGTAGATCTTATAGTCAAGTCAACGAATGCTTCTCGGTGACATTCTCTCGTCCGATAGAACTCCTGCATGCGGTCACGAAGCTCCATGGCTGAAGCGAACAATTCTGCCTCGAAGGCCACCGCGGAGTTGAAAGTGTCGATGAAGTGTGTGCTTGCAATGAAGTGGTCAGTTGGGTGATGGTGCTGGAATAAAAAATAATTCTGAATAGTCTATATTTTACACATTTTTCAGAAACTTACAACCTCACCAGTAATCCCCGCAAGAGCAGCTCCCATCGTGAAACCTGTGAAACCGATTCACGTCCCGGACAACAATCTCTCGCCCACAGACTTTGGACATCAGCTTGGTGGCGGCATGGCAGTCGGAGCAAACTCTCAAGTTCTTGATCACGCAGAGTGAGCTCCCTGGGGGTGTGGAGATGATCCCATACGCGATGGCCAGCCTCTCGCTGTGGTACCAAAGGAGCTTCTCCTTCCTGGCCTCGTCTACGTTGTGGAGCACCACCTTCGTGTCCGGGACGTATCCAAGACTCTTCATCTCGCGATTCAACCTTTCCAGCTCCGCGTAGATGGCCTCCGACTTGGAGTGCGATCGATCCCCGCATCTAAACTCGTGGACTCTGCCGTGGACCTCGATCAAGCTCAGCCCCGTCTCCTTCTTCACGCCCCTCGACTCCATGAGCTTCCGGATCCGGGCCTTCTCCTTCCACTTCCCGGCCGCGGCGTAGATGTTTGACACCACCGCGTAGGACGTCGAGAGCTCGGGATCCAGATCCATGATCCTGGCAGCCGCGCGCTCGCCTTGCTCCTGCCGGTTATGGACCAGGCACGCGCCGAGGAAGCTCGTCCAGGCCACCACGACGCTTGGCGATGGCGGCATGGAGGTGATGAGTTCCTCGGCCTCGTCTATCTTCCCTGCTCGTCCCAGAAGATCCACCATGCATCGAAAGTGCTCGTTCAAAGGCCGGATCCCGTGGTCTCCACGCATCAGCAGGAAGTAGTTCCTCGCTAGCTCCAGCTTCCCCGTGTGGCCGCAAGCGAAGAGAATGCCCATGAAGGTGACGCCGTTTGGACGGATGCCCTCGAGCTCCATGTCGAGGTGGAAGTCGAGAGCTATGGCGCTATGGCCGTGCTGGGCATAGGACGCGATCATGGCGGTCCAGGTGACGACGTTGCGTTGCTTCATGCCGTCGAAGAACTCGCGGGCCTCGACGAGCTTGCCGCATTTGCCATACATGCTGAGAAGCGCGGTGCCGACGATCACGTCCGACTCCATCTCGGCCTCGAGGAGGTGTGCGTGGATGATCCGGCCTTGGGAGATGGCGGCGATAGCGGCACAGGCGTCGAGGACCGAGACGAAGGTGACGGCGCTTGGTCTGGTGCCTTCCAAGCACATCCTGGATCACTCGAGATCGTCAGAAAACATGATCTGAGGAGGAAGAAAAGTTTCTGAGAACGAAGAGGATCGAGGAGGAAGAAATGAAAAATGAAAGAGAACGAAGAGGATTAAGGAGAAAGAAGGAAAAGGAAACAAACCTGTGATAGAATCGCACTGCTTCCTTACAATGCCCATTGCGGGCAAATGCCGCAAGCATGGCATTCCAGGCGACCACGTCCCTCTCCTCCATCCGATCAAACAAACTCTTCGCGTCACCAATGCTTCGGCATCTCCCATACATGTTGAGCAGCGAAGTAGCGAGATTTGGCTCGCCCTTGAGCCCCGCCGCCACAACGATCGCGTGGATCTCCTTCCCCTCCGCGAGGCCCTCCAAGCACGAGCACGCCTCCATCGCCACCAAGAACCCCACGCGATTTGGGCGCTGCCCCTGCTGGATCATCCTCCGGAACACGGCGATGGCGTCGCGGCACTGGCCGCAGTGGATGCACGCCTTGATGAGGAAGTTCCACGAGAATCCCGTGTGGCAGGGCATGGAATCGAAGACGCTGCGTGCCTCGCGAAGGCTGCCACATTTGCCGTAGGCCTCGATGAGCATGGAGAAGAGGATTCGCGAGTCGCGGAGGCGAGGGTGGGAGAGGAGGTGGGAGTGGACGCGCCGTGTCTCCGCCAGGGCCTTGCAATCGCCGCAGCGGCGGAGCACGCCCGCGTACTCGGCGAAGAGATCGTCGAAGGGATTCTCCTGGCTCTCCAGCTGCTGCATCGCCCTGTCCAGCCGCCCCAGACCCTGCAATGGATCCACGCTGCGGCTGCGATCTTGGAGGCGCAGCTGCCGCCCAAGCGCATCCATTGATAGCTCCAACTCGCCATCGCTCCTGCGGGGATGGGGACTCGCCCTGGGTTGAAATGTGGAGAGCGCCAGTGGCATTTCACTCAAGAGCCCTAGATTCAGATCAGCCGAAAGGTATATTCTTAAGGAAACCAACTGTTTTATTAACATAAAATGTAACTAAGTTGGATATCACCAAGGGGACTTATGATAAATAGTGAGAAAGTGTCTCTAGTAAAGGATATGTTAAATATTTCTATATAAATTAAAAATATCTAATCTCATTAACTACAATTAAATACATTTATATGCCTTATATTAAACTTAAATATAATTTTAAAAAAGAATGAATTAATTTCAATAAAGCTTGGTATTTCTTTTTAATTTAACTTTTACATTATAAAGTATAGTTTGACAAGAATCTAATTTTAATAAATAAATTTTGTTTTAAAATAATGGGTTAAGCAGTCCAAGCCAGCCACACATGGCACAATGTCATCCATGCTAAATTTTGTAATGTGCATAGGCACCACACACAAATAATGCAACAGGTAGCCACTACTGAGTGATCTCAAAGTTCAACCATCTTTGCTAGCTTAATTTCTAGGAGGAAGCTCATAGCCAGGCTAAGGCTACAGGATGACAAGCATCCTCGTTGCCAGCTTGTAAGTTTTGTTTTTCAATTTTCTAAAGGAAAATCTCTGGTGATGTCACCTTTGAGAAGAATGCCAGGCCTCACCAGCACAGACTTGCAAAACCTCATGAACATTTGGTCAGGAGTATCTCAAAGAAGATTTGAATCATTGCTGCCTGAGAATCATTGTGCCAGCTTGTACTCTTGGCTTTCTTTCTAGGGGCTCCAATCCATAGAGCTGTATTGCCCCCTGGCAGCCGGCTAGCCGACCCGGAGCTCCCTTTTGGCCAAAAGAGGAGAAGGAAGTCGGCTACATCATCTGTGAAGAACTATGCCTATAGCATGAGCAAACTCGACAAGTTCATGCTACGGTCACTGTGTGAGGTTTGGAAACAGATGATGCAGTGTATGGCAAGTGTGGCAACCTCGGAGAGGCACAAATACGATGGCATTGCTTGGGCTCATGGTATCCTTCCACATACAGTGGCATCGGAGCAAAGCTTTTTGGCTAATGAGGTGTCCAAGTTGACAAATTTGCATTCACGGCCACCTATGCAATGGTGCCGACAGCAGCCTCAAGTATGGATTGCTGCTGGAGCTCATACGAAAGGTGCCAATCTCGAGTGCTACATCAATAGCTTAAAAAGTTTTGCACCGCCTTTCTCGGCCTTGGATTTCACTCGCTCTATATCATCCCCAAGGACATCCTCTTGACCCGGGCTATCATTCGAGCTTCAGCTATCCTGAGGGAAGGTACCAGCTACTCACAAGCATCACCATTGCGGAAAAAAATGCTCAAGGGGAGAGCTCTTACTGAAGCAAGGTACAAGATTCTACAGAGCGCCAGAAGCAAAATGACCCTAGCCGCCCATGCTCTCCTCTTTCGGAAGACACAAGATCTCAACTTGATGCAAACACCAGCGCTCCCAACTGATTCAGTGCTATGACCCTGCCACTCAGAGAAATTAGGGGTTGAACCGGGCTTTAAAGTTCACCTTCTTTAAACACAAGACCAAAAAAGTAATGTTATAATCTTCAATAAAAGATTGAAAACACAGTCAATGTCGCATATAAGTAGCCATTCCAAGACGCTTCCCGTTTTCGAGCAGCTCTTCACCATACACCTCGCAACCTGACAAGCAAGTTATTCTAGTGGATGATTAAAGGCCTTTGATCTGTGGCGGGGCTCCTCCTAAGCTTCCTGACATGCTTTCTGGAAGCGCGTTCTGCTTCTTCTCTTGCAACAACTTTTTTCTCAGGATCATCCACTGGAAGTGTGGAGTCGCTTTGTGTGCCTGCAATGGGGGCCGATCCATCTGAGTCCGAATCCAAGCACAACACATTCCTCACGTTGGCAGGAAGACCATCCGAATTTTTCTAGTGGTGGTGGTGGTGATGGTGGTGGTCGCAATGGCAATGCTGGTGGAGGCACTTGCAAGAATTGATTATGACAATGCTTTCCAGTCATTATCGTCACAAGGCACCAAAATTGTCCGGTCCCTAAAGCCCTCTCTGAACTGCGCTCTCTAGCTCTTAAACAACCGTTAGCTTGCCTGACAAGATCCCAAGCAAGCCTACTTGAAGCGCAACCAGACGATTTGGGCATTTGTGGAATCTGGCAAAATGTTTTATTTCTAAAATATCCACGTATTTTCTAAGAGATTCCTCAGTTAACGTTTTCTCTAATTAGTTTGTAATCAATGTTTAATGCTATGTGTTGTAAATTTATTCTCCGGAGTTAGAGTTTCAGCAGCAGCGAGAATTGAGCGTGCCACATATATATCCTCATCATGGCTAGAAAAAAACAGCAAGAAAAACATTTCTAGCTTACCATATTGATCTTCTCGGAATCTGTTCTCAAGCTTCGAAACGGCGCCATGGATGGAAGAGAACTTGTCCAGCGAACTTTCCTTGCATCTGAAGTGCTTTACGTCTCGTAAAGCTCCAAGGTGGAAAAATCCAGATGGCCGTGCGACCTTTTCTGGATCAGCACCCTCTTTAAATTCTTTGCAGCTCATTTCGTCTGGGAGCTTGGTTGTAGTCCTGGAGTGCATTGCATTGCAGTGCATTCTTTTTGACGTGTCGCACAATCTCCTGACGAGCTAGCAGCTTTGATATCACCAAAAAAACCATGTGAATTTGAATGATCCTAATTGCCCGTTGCCGTATTGAATTCCAGAAATTTTGGGGTCTTTAACCTCGAGAGGATCGTCTATAAATCTAAACCACCGTGAGTAAGGATCGACTGTGATGGGATCTCCTGCGCGAAACATCCTTTTCGATCGGACTTATCCGTTGGAGGAAGAAAACAATGCAAATTTTTTTTTCTTTCTTTTGGTAGTAATGTAAGTACCGATCAGAGCTTTGGTGATCAGTCCGGACAAGGAACTTACCTGTTTGTCCAGATCTGTAAGAACCATAGTATAGAAATTCCACTGTCCACAAGCCTGGAGTGATCCTTGCTCTAGCAAACATCAGCAATGATGGTGGTGATCAGATTAAGTTTGCTCCATTCGATCCTGAGTGAGTTCATTGTTTACTCCTTTATTTTCTCAATCCCAGCAAGGCGGCATGATCATCGTTGACGACAGCAGCAGCAGCGAGAGAGATCGAAGATCAATCGACGAAACAGGAGCACTTTTCTAGTGGAAAAGAAAAGCAATGTACTAACAAAGAATGGTGGTGAGACAGCGATCACAGCCATGATTTCGTAAGTATAACAAGTCCAAAGAGATTGATAACTCCTGGGATGGAAAAACCCAGTCACTGTCCAACAGCGCGAGCATCGCTCACTCCTACAAGAAAGCCAGGCCGAGAGGAAGGAAGAGGATGAATCTAAAGTTTCAAAGTCTTCCATGGCTAGCTCTGTGCTCTTACAGCAGCAAAAGGGGGGCCATCAATCAGCACGGAATTCAAGCTGACCAAGCCCAGGCTCAGCTGGACGAAAAGAAAGCTCGGCTCGCAAAAAAAAGCAAGACAAAAAAGCGGGGAACAAACAAAGGAAACGAGACGACGCGTGCGATTCTTTTGTTGGTTCCCGGCTCTAAGTTTTTTCTAGTAGCTCCACAGATCCTACAGAGCTACAACAAGCTCGAGCTCGTCCACACGACCTGCTCCATTGGAGTTTGCAAAAAAATCTTCCTCACAGCTTGCAAGGATCGGCGAGCCACGTACCAAAGCCCCCGCGAGAGATGAGATTGAGAGCGCCATTAAACAAAGCTTTCCCCCTGTCTTCCAAGTGCTGGACCAAAGTCTACTTTGGCATGGACGGGACCATCTCCATCCCTCTCTCGGGACTTTCCAAGTGGTCCACTTGATCGCAGACGAAACGAACACCGAGAGAGAGCGAGAAGGGATCAAGCACGACAGGTTTTCCTTCGAGAGAGAAAAAGATGGCGGCCGTGGAAAATTGGTGGGCTTTGGAGGCTTTGCGTGTGGATTGATGAATCGAGCTCGGTGGAGCAGTACCTAGTACACGATCAATCCAACAACAAAAAGAGCGAAGGAAACTTTGGAGCGAGCGGGCTTAATAGTTCCTGGAAAACTTTGGTCTCCGGATTCTAGAAGCGCAGAAACTTTGGTCTGGAAAAACTAGGTGTCGCACCTAACTAGCTGACACAAACCGTGAGTGAGGCTTTCTAGCTGTCTTCCTCCCAACACAAAGAGAACAGTGGAACTAGAGCACCGTACCATTGCTTGCTCTTTTGGGCCATTGCACGGCAGTGTGTGGTTTGTGTGTGTTTTTGTAGAGGATTGACTCATAGCTAGGCCAGTTAGAGATCAAAGTTCCCATGGTTCCGTGGTGCCGATCCAATCATTTTTTTTTTTTTTTGGTGTGTGCTGTGCGCATGAAAATACCACCTTTGACAAGAACACCCAACTGACCCGTGGACGATTCGCGCGCTAGCTACGTCTAGAAAAAGACTCGTCCACAGTAGAGAGCTCGTGGGAGACGAGCAAAGTTTCGTCGTCAATCGCCCAACAAGGAGGGGCCAGCCGCGCAAGAAATCCAGGACGGCGCGAAAGAGACCACCTGAGGGAGAGAGAGATTGGAACAGCACAACTTCATCCGGATATCAAAAGTCCAAACCTCCTTTTTCCTTGGCGAGATTTATATCTGCTATGTGTCGACGATCAAGTGACCGATCGATCGTTCTCTTCTCATTGAGCAGTGGTAGCTTGATTACAAACCTCGTCTTTCTTCTAGCAATGCACACGTTATTCCTCACCTCCGAGAGAAGAGGATCCGATCAATCACTAAAACTCTGTACAAGACCCGTACAGAAAGAAAAAGAGAAGGAAAAGAAGGAAACACTGAGCTAGAAGAGACTAAGCACAATGGAAAAGATGGACCAGCTCTTCGATCGAGCGAGCGAGCGAGCGAGCCAGCATGCGTGCGTGCGAGGGATCAAAACTTTGGAAAGAGAGAACTCACTTCACTTCACTCACACAAAGCGTGGATTGATGGGAGGAGCCAGCGATGGATGGATGGGTGATCCACTTCCTATCTTTCTCATCAAAACTTCCCTTTCTTTTCTAGCCATTTTTTTTTTCCTCCTCTCCTCTTTCCTCTTTCTCTCTCCTTGCAGCAGTGAACAGCGGCCAGTGCGGGGCGCGAGGAGCAGCAGCAGAGCAGCAGCGTGCAGTGCGGTGTGAAGTTGCCGTCCAATCCAATCCAATCCAGAGAGCTCTAAACCAGAAATTTAGATAAGCTCGCTCATACCTCTCGCGAACAAGTGCCAATGGATCCAATCCAATCCATCTCTTTCCCTGTACAGCAGCTATGGCGGAGGAGAAGAGAAGAGCTCCAATGGTGGCGGCGATAGGAGTAAAAAAACAACCCCTCCCCTTCTTCCCAGTCAGACCATTTTGGATTCATTCCCGTCTAAGTGGTGGTGGTGGTGGTGGTGGTGGTGGTGTTGGCGACGATAATGCTGGTGGAGTAGTCTCATCGTAGATCCATGGAGGACGAAACGAAGAACAAGGAAGAGTAAAAGAGAGGGGAGAGAGAGAGAGAGAGGGAGAAGAGTGCTCGGTCGCTCGCTCGTTCTCTCGATCGCCACCGCCAGCCAGCCAGCCGCTACTCTTGCCTCAACTGCGCACGAACGCTCGCAATTAGAGACTCCACCCTCTGCGTGAGATCGTCCGGGACCTCCCTGGAATCCCCAAACCCCAGATCCTTGATCACCACTCCACTCTTGTCCGACCGCGTCCTCACGACCTTCTTCTTCCTCGTCGCCCCTGTCCCCGCCGAGGACGATTTCTTGAGCTTCTCGCGGTGCGCGACTAGGAAGCTCGGCAGAGGTGGTGGAAGGATTCCAATGGGCGACGGCGCTGGCGCTGGAGGTGGCGGCGCTGCTCCACCGGGGGCAGCTACTTCATCGTCTCCTCCTTTCTCCTCCAGCGCGGCCGCTGGAGGGGACTCGCGCACTGGCTCTGGATCGAAGATCTCCTTCACGGAGGATGGAGGGGGCATTATCCGCGAGAACACCGAGATCTGTGGATCCGGCTTGCCAACCGAGACTGGCGGGAGGAAGACGAGCGTCTGGGTGGTCTCGAGCTTGCGCTTGGTTGGCGGAGGAGGAGCGGCGGTGGTGACGGCGAGGAGATCTCCCGCTCCTCCGGCTAGCGCTCCTCCTCCTCCTCCTCCCTCCGCCAGGCCCCCAGACGAGGTCGCCCAGATGGAGAGGATGACGAAATTGACGAGCACGAAGAGCACGGGAGTGGTGAGCCACGCCACCACCAGGCGCCACGCCTCGGTCGCGAAACCAACCTCGAGAGATCTCAGCAGCGGGGGCGTGAATGTGATGATCCAGGGCAGCAGCGCCGTGAGGAGCGTGAATGTGGCCACGGCCGCGGGCTTGGAGGCCATCCTCTTGACGGCCGCATCGATCTTCTCCATTCCCCCAAAATGTAGATCAATCAGCGCCTCCCAGGAATCGGCGAAAGCACGGCACACTCCAGCGATTGGATCCTCCTCTAGCACAAGCGCCTCGCGACGATCTGGAAGAACCCTAGCGAAGAACACGCGCACGCGAGAGAAAGAGCGAGAGCCTCGGACAAACACACACGAAGTAACAACACCCCTTTTTTAACCCAACGTAAATAAAACGGAAAGCCCTACCAAGCCACGTCTGCGGCACGTGGAGTCCGAGCTGGCGGGATATTTTGAACGTTATGACATTGCCGCGTGTGCACCCCCGGGGGCCACGTGCCGCCCGTGCATTGGCCTGCGAGCCAGCAGCCGTTTACAGGCCCGATAGATCTTGTCTGCGCCTTGTTTGTGTAGCTTTTAAAGCGCGCACACTGTCGAGTGTGTAAGACGGCCATGATTTGGCCGGGAATGGATGGATAGGATATCCTAGCCGTTATCTTTTCGAAAGCCAGCTTTTAGGGCAAAATTAGGGCCCTTGCCCCTGTTTCTAGGGCTGACGCGGCGTGGGCGTCGCGGTCGAGGCATGGGATCGCTTTTCCTTGGAGATAACAATGACGTGGCTTTGGGATTTGGGTTTGGCATCTGGTGGTTGCGCTTGGTCTCACGTTCCTGTTGTTATCTTGCCAGAGCCATGCAGGCTTTTAATTTAGGGTTTGTGTGTGATGTCGTCCGCCACCCGGATATTCTATCGCCACTGTTTGTGTGTTGGTGGTCCGGGGGGACAGCGTTGTGGAGGCGGGGCCTGGGAACGAAGGAAAAAGGCTGTCTTTTGAATTGCTAGTTGAATCCCAGGCCACTCCAAATTCCCGGATCCTCAGTGCAAGAAACACTCGATCTTGGTGATCTTCCGTGTGGGATCCATGAGCGAGATAAGCTAAGCGAGTATCACGCTCTTTTGTTCGCGATCTCTTTGTGTGTGAAAGCTTCTTCTTTGTCCACGCTATTGCTCCATCGAGTAGCTTCTTATAATAATTCATCTTTTAAGTCTCATGTGACCTTCAAAAAGAGCTTTTGATTTTAATCTTTCTTGGTGGCAGCCATGAAGACTGCAACTTTATACATTAAAAACCCAGCCACTCCTCCCATTAGCAACCCGGGGCTAAGTTCCCTGTCCTGGAGTATGACAGAGCCTTTGATCACAGCCGCAAAGAATATCACAGCTACGAGCAAAACCAGCACGGAAGGTTTCCTGAATGTAGTCTCGCCTTTGCCAATCCGATCCACCACCCCTTCCAGTGAGAGCAAGTAAACCAACCCAAGAGCTCCACCCAGTGAAAAGGCTAGTGCGACGTCCCTGGAGCTCGACAGTGCTAGAACTCCAGCTCCAAGAGCAACCAGAGTCGCGTGTGACACCAAGAGAGAACGCTTTAAGGACTCATACTGTTTCATCGTGTTGGCATCATCGTTTGGTCGTGGAGAACTTGCTGGATCCGATTCAATCACCTGTGGCTTGAGTTCTACGGCCAAAACATCACCACCATCGCCAAGCAGCTCGCCATCGCCTCTAAAAATGTAATTCACGCCTCTGGAACTCGCGGCTTCGTTTCCAGGAGCTACGGTCACTACAGCTTCTTCGAGCCTCCAGGCACCTATAGAAGTTTCAGCTCAAAACTTTGGATTTGTAGTAAGAAAAAAGCGATTTTTTCTGCGAAGTACCTCTCTCTGGTCCAATCCATATGGCTTCAAGCTTTCCCAGGTCCGGTCCCAGGAACTCCACCACATCAACATCCCCCTTTTGGAACCGTGTCCCCGAATCCACGCATCGCAGCGCGGTTTCTCCACTCTGGCCTATCAAAGCCAGCCAAATCCGTCCTCCAGGCTCGGAAAAACTAGAACTGGGACTCGTGCTAGTGACGAGCTTTACCTTGTAGGCGCTGCTTCTCAGGCGCTCCAGGATCTTCTCCTCTGCCGTGACTTCCACAAAACGAAAGAGCTCGCCCTCGTCGCCGCCGCTGGGGAGTAGCCATTGCGGCTGCTTGAAGCAAGAACCGGTAAATCCAGCGGGAGATTTACCTTTTCCGGATGAAGAAGCCATCGCCAGCCTCGCCGATCTGGGATTCACTCCAGCTGATCGCTTCAGTCGCGGCGGGATCGAAGCGGGGCGCTCCAAGACTGTCGCCATTTCTCCACAGCCCTAAACAAAGAATTTGAATTAAGTATCAAAGTATTATTCGCTGCAAAGGGTGAAATATTCGATTAGATCATGTGGCCCTCAAAGTATGCATTGGGGGTTCTTTTGAGTTTCATGGTTGGAATGGATTTGCAACCTGGGAGCGATGGCGAGGGAGAGAGCTTGGATGTGGTCATTCTCTCCGGGCAGAGCAACATGGCCGGGAGGGGCGGCGTCCATGCCGTAGGGCAGCGCAGGGAATGGGATGGATTTGTTCCACAGGAGAGCTGGGCACCAAATGGCACAATCAAGAGGCTCAATGTGGATCTGGAATGGGAGGATGCCGCCGAGCCATTGCACAGAGACATTGATACTGGTAAGTTCTTGATGCTAAGCGATATCGTTCTAGATCTTAGAGCTCGAGATTGTCTCTCAAACCTTTCCCTTCGATCCAGGCAAAGTTTGTGGGATTGGGCCTGGCTTGACGTTTGGAGCGGCATTGATCAACCAGCAGAGAAGTAGATTCCTGGGCCTCGTGCCTTGCGCCAAGGGCGCCACTTCCATCACGGAATGGACGAAAGGGAGCTTTCTATACGAGCGGATGATCAAGAGGGCGAAGGAAGCCATTCGCAAAGGTGGCGTTTTGAGAGCGCTCTTGTGGTACCAAGGCGAGACTGATACACTCTCGGAGCACCTCGCGAGGAATTACAAGAGAGCTCTCGAGGCTTTCATTGGCAACGTAAGGTCTGATCTAGGCTGGGATCAGTTGCCATTCATCCAGGTGAGTGGCTCTCTTGATTTTGTTGTTTGGGAAAGATCTAAGGCTTGGGAAAACAGGTCGGAATCACTGCTCACAATCATCCTCACCCCCGTCTTCTTCAGCTGGTTCGTCAGGCCCAGCAACAAATCCACATTGCGAATGTGTTTTACGTGGATGCACACGGCTTGGCTCTGCAGGAAGATGGAGTTCATCTCACTACTGCCTCGCAGGTTGAGCTCGGCAAAAAACTTGCCCAAAGTTTCATCTCCAATGTCCCCCCATGATTTCCATCCAGATTATTCCCCGACCATTCTTCTATATGGAAAAAAAGCTGGCCAAAGGGTAATCCTCTCAACCTAAAGGATTTTCAGCAAAATGGGTGCCATCTTGAACATCTCGAAGGTGTTCTTAAGCTTTCATTCGAACTGAAGTGAGAACTCGCTGAGCAAGAATTCTATAAGCCGAGGAACCAGGATTCCATCTTCTTTCTCCATCAAATTCTCAATCTAAGATCGCAAGATGATCAAATTCTTGGTAATTTTGGTGTTTGGTGCAATGGAAAAGATTCTAAAAGTCTGTTTTTTAAAAAGTTTTAGGGTTCATGAGCACAACGCTCTTCCCGCCACAGCCGAGTGGCGCCACTCTTCTCCCGGCGAGCAATCCCAATGCCGCGGAGGGCGTGAGGAGATGCGTCTCTTTGCTCAAGAAATGCCAGCTCCTGGAAGAGTGCGATCAAATCCACGCCCGGATGGCCTCCAGCGGCATCCACCGCGACCGATTCCTCTGCAACAATCTCGTCGAAGCCTATGGCCGCTGCGGCGATCTCGACTCCGCCACCGCCGTCTTCCTCACCATCCAGGATCGCAACGTCTTCTCGTGGACGATCATGATCGTGGCCAGCGTCCAAAACGGCGATGGCGTCCTGGCGCTGCGCCTCCTCCGCGAGATGGACTGCGAGGGCGTCGCCCCGGACGAGATGACCTTTAGCAGCATCTTGGGCGCGCTCTCGGGCAAGAGAGATCTCCGGCAGGGGCGAGAGATCCACGCGCGGCTGCGCAGCGGCGGCCACGAATCCAATCTCGTCGTCGCCACCGCGCTCATCAACATGTACTCGAGCTGCGGCAGCATCGCCGAGGCGCGCGAGGTCTTCTCCAGGACGAACTCCCGCGACGTGGTGTCCATGAGCTCCATGGTGGCGGCGCTGGCGGGATCCGGGCATGGCGGCGAGGCCATCCTCCTCTTCCGCCGCATGGATCTCGAGGGGATCGCGAGCAACGAGATCACTTTCGTGGCGGCGCTGGTGGCGTGCTGCGATTGCCCCGGATCCCTGGCGCTGGGAAAGCAAATCCACGAGAGGATCATCGCCGGTGGACTGGGATCCAACGTTTTCCTGGCGAATTCGCTGGTCACGATGTATGGGAGGAGCGGCGAGGTGGCGGTGGCGGAGGCGGTGTTTAGATCCATCCGCCGCCGCTCGCTCACGTCCTGGAACTCGATGCTCGCGGCATATACCCAGAACGGGCATTCCAGCGTGGCACTGGACGTCCACGTCAGGATGGACCACGAGGGCGTGGCGTCGGACGAGTTCACGTTTGTGACGCTGCTGGACGCGTGCGCCATGGCCGGGACGCTCCAGCTGGGCCGGCAGATCCACGACCGTACAGCCGCGATGGGCCTCATGGCCAACGGGTTCGTGGCCACGGCGCTGCTGGACATGTACGGCAAGCGGGGCAGCCTGGGCGAGGCGCGGGCGGTGTTCGACCGCCACTGTACGGGAAGCGTCGTGGCGTGGACGGCCATGGTCGCGTCGTACGCCCAGCACGGGCGGTCCGCGGAGGCGCTGGAGCTGTACGGCTGCATGGCGCTCGAGGGCCTCGCCCCAAACAGCGTCACCTTTGTAAACATCCTCTCGGCGTGTAGCTACTATGGAATGGTGGATCAGGGATGGGAGTTCTTCGCTTCTATGAGAGGAGATCACGGGATTTGCCCCGAGGCTGTGCATTTTGGGTGCATGGTTGATGTTTTGTCCAGGGCGGGTCAGCTGGATCGAGCTGAGGAGCTGCTCGAGAGTTTGCCACCTTTCCTGACCGCGCAGCTGAGCCTGTTGGGCGCTTGCCAGCTGCATGGGGATTTGCAAAGAGGGTGGCGGGTGTCGCACAGAGTGCATGGGGAATGTAGGGAGAAGTACGTGATGCTCACAAACTTGTCGTCAACTTCATCATATATAAACCATCTTGTTTGATTCATGAAAAATGTCAATGGTTGTGAGGCTACAGGAATAGACAAGCTGGACGCGGACAAGATCAGTATATTTTCCCGTATCTTCTTCAAGCAAGAGCTGCTTCTAGCCCACAACTCTATTCGATAAGCTTAGACCGCTTTATTGGCTTCAGGAGGACCCAAGGGGTACAACTATGAACTTAAACTCCCTACACTCTCTTGAGCTTGAAGTTGCAGCTCCTCCATTTGAGCTGATGGTAAGATGGTGGGAGTTCATCCTGACTGAAGTTCATCCCCAAACCTTCTGGCATTCCAGGAGACTGTGAAGGCGAAGGAGCTAAGTTAAATTAAAGTAGGAATCAAATTTAATTAATAAATGAAGTTAATGTCGTTAATTGGCACAGAATTAGGTGATGCAATCATAGGCACAACAAGCTTGTATCGTGCCACTCACTATATTTTCTGCTAGTTTTCCGGGCAGTGCCTTCACTTTTCTGGAGAAAGGATCACACACAAATACTGTCTATATATTCGAACTCCCAAACAAGAAGAAGGAAAGGTTACTCTCAAGAGGCCACTTTGTACCTCAATATCCATCAAGAAGTCCAATGGCATCTCCATCCATGACAATTCCCCGTTTTTGCTCTGTCGTAGAACACCAAGCTTGAGATTAGTTGGGAACTTCCATGTAGAACTCGCCCGGAGTTGCAAATAGCACGAGCTTTCTTAGAATTTCGCGTGCACACGTACACTGCCCATCTCCCGTTTTGATACATGTTTAAAACAAAAATTCTTTAATTCTTGGTGGGAATCTTCATGTTCTAGCAGGCTTTCTTCTCCACACCGCCCGCGCCATTGCATTGGGGCGCTGATGCTAGGGAATGGATCGACAGCAGCTGGAGTAGGGAAGGGAGGGATCTCGAGGGCAATGCGATGGAGGGATCGGTTACGGAGCGCGGGAAGTTGAGGCAACGCCGTTGCAATGGCGGGCAGTAGCGTAGCGGCAAAGCTGGCTGTCGAGTACGTGCGCTCGTTCTCGCCAATGAGTGTTTTGGCAGGAAGAACAAGCGGATTTCCGTAGCCAAGAAGAAATGTTATGCTTCGGTCTGATTGCTTCAGTACCGAGAAGGTTGATATACAAAGTAAATTTTTAATACTAACTAAAGATCCATGTGCTGTAACCAAGGAGCAGCCTAAACACCACCTGGCGCATCTCTAGAAGTACTGCATCGTAGATAAACCATCTTGATTGATCAATGAGAAGTGTTAACAGGATTAAACAAGCTGGACATGGACAAGTTTACTGCATCCTTTTGTAGCCAAGAGTTCCTTCCATACTCCATGACTCCATTCCATAAGTTTATACCACTTTAATTGCCTCAGTAACGCTATATAAACCTTGTCATTCCAAGCCTTGATGCCCCACTCATCTGGATGATCAATTCCAGTCAAGCATGCAATCTCCTTAACCTTGCTCCCCACCACTTCCCAAAGCCTGAGGACTGCAAGACCAGGACTATACTGAGCAACTAAGAAACCATCCTTCCACTTCTCAAGCTTTACGGATGACGGCCAGTCCAGCTTGATTTCTCCAATTGTACACTCCCCGCGGCTAAGCTTTAGCAACTGTGATCCTAATAGCTTCTCATGAGTGCCCTCTGATCGAAGAGCCTTCAACTCAAACCATTCACCTCCGTGAGAAATTGCACTGATACAGTACTCTGCCGAGCCATCGATTTCCTTCCATGCATTTGCACTCGAGTCAAACATCCACACAGAGTCCCATTTTCCACCATCGACCATAGGCACAATAAGCTTGTATCGTCTTGCATTCTTGTCACTCGCTATGGCCATTTCAAGGAAATACTTATTGTAAGATTCAAAACTGGGCAGTGCCTTCACTCGTTTGGAGAAAAAATCACACACAAATACTGTCCATATACTAGCGAAGCGATTCGAACTAGAAAACAAGAAGAAGGCAAGGTTGCTGTCATGATCGTAGGCCATGGAGCCTCTAGGGTAAAGAGGATGATAACCCTGCGGGAGAGTTTGCCTGCGCACAAAATCCATCAAAAATGTCAATGGCATCTCCTTCCATGACAATTCCCCGTCTTTGCTCTGTCTTAGAACAAGATCAAGCCTGATACTAGTTACGAACTTCCATGTCCGGAGTTGCAAAAAGCATAAGTTTTTTAGAATCTCGCGTGAGCACGCTGCCCAACTTTGACAAACCAATCTCACACTACCAGTCAAAACCTCTACTGGAACCATCTCTAAGATATCCCTGAGGAACAGCCTAAACACCTCCTCACACATCGCTCTTTTCTTAACCATAACCTGATTTGCGGCCACAAGGAATTTTATAACGATCCTTCTCCAAATTTGGGCCGTTTGATTTAGGGCTGATCGTAGGGCTTAGAGCGAACCTAGGGTTTAGGGCTCTAGGGTTTAGATCTTGCCGGCGGGCGAGCGGGAGCGCTGGAGGATCGGCGATGGTGAACGTCAGCTTCTACCGCAACTGTAAGTCTCTCCTTCTCGATCGCATTGCGCCCGTGCCGATCCATCCGGTGTGCCGCAGATGGGAAAACTTTCAAGAAGCCACGGCGGCCATTCGAGAAGGAGCGCCTGGACGCGGAGCTCAAGCTGGTGGGCGAGTATGGCCTGCGCAACAAGCGCGAGCTGTGGCGACTCCAGTACGTGCTGAGTCGCATCCGCAACGCCGCGCGCCACTTGCTCACGCTGGACGAGAAGAACCCGCGCCGGATCTTCGAGGGCGACGCGCTCCTCCGCCGGATGCATCGCTATGGGCTGCTCGAGGAGGGCCAGAACAAGCTGGATTACGTGCTGGCGCTCACCGTGGAGAACTTCCTCGAGCGCCGGCTCCAGACTCTGGTGTTCAAGGCGGGCATGGCCAAGTCGATCCATCACGCGCGCGTTCTCGTCAGGCAAAGGCACATCAGGTGGGATCCAAAGTTCTCTCTCTCTTTCTTTCCTTCTTCTCTTAGTTTGTTCTCCACTCTCTCTAAGTTCTCTCTTCCTTCTCTTAGTTCTTATCAGATCTCCTTGTGATCTAACAAGAGTTTTGCGAATTGGCCAGGGTCGGGAAGCAAATGGTGAACGTTCCATCCTTCCTTGTCCGCGTCGAGTCCCAGAAGCACATCGATTTTGCACTGACGAGCCCGTTCGGAGGTGGCGGCCCGGGGCGCGTCAAGAGGAAGAACATGAAGGCGGCATCGAAGAAGGCCTCTGGCGGTGGCGACGGAGACGAAGAAGAAGAGGAGTGAGCGAGCGTGCTTCCGTTTCCATTTTCCAGCGGAGATCTTCCTCGCAGCTAAGTCTAGTTATTAAAATCTAATCGTTTGAAGAGAACAATATAACGCGATTTCTTGCGAGGGCTCTACACTCCACAAAGATCATGAAGGTCGAAGAGATTGAGCGCCTCATGCTTGAGCCGCTATCCCCAACTCCAAGCTGCTTCCTTTCTCTCTCCCACTTTGATATGAAATACATCTTCCATCCCTATATGCAAGGTGTTGCGTTCTATCCAGGCTCTCGCTCGGACGTGCAGAACGAGAGCTTGATCCACCAAGCGAGGCTCTCACTCTCTAAAGTTCTGCTCCACTTCTACCCAGCAGCTGGGCGCCTGGCGCTCTCCAGCGATGGCAACTCGTATGGAATCGACTGCAATGCCGCTGGTGTCGAGTGGACAGTGGCAAGAGCCGACTTTCCGCTTGACAATCTCGACTACTCTCAGCCATCGCCCGACTTCTCGGCTCTGATTCGAAGTGGCAAGTATGGAAGCTCTGCGGCACCACTCGGAAGCCCGCTGCTAAGCATCCAGGTAACCAGTGACCAGTGTTTCTTGAGGATTTCATCCCCTGGATTTCATCTAGGTGACAAGGTTCTCGTGCGGAGGCATTTCGGTGGCTTGGGCTGCGGACCATGCACTAGCTGATGGAACTGGCCGGGTGCATTTCCTAGTATCTTGGGCAGAGAGTTGTCTCAAAGGTGAGATTAGCCAAGTTCCTCGCATTGATCGAGATCTCGGGCCCCAGCAGCTGGACTACCCGAGAGCAAGTGATTTCTCGCCGGTTGCAAGCGGCGGCCATGATCTTCCAAAGTCCGGTAACATAGCGATGAGCGGTCGAATCTTCTGCTTCGAGAGAGCCTACATTGAAAAGCTCAAGGAGATGGCCGGCGTGGGGTTATCGAGATTCACAGTGCTATGTGCTCACATCTGGATCAACATGTGTGCAGCGAGGGATCTGCCCGATTCCACGAGCACCACCAATTCCATGGCAGCCAACTGCAGGAAAAGGCTAGCTCCTCAGCTGCCGGACGACTTCTTTGGGAATGCAGTGCTCCACGCGGTGGCAACGACGACTGCTGGTGAGCTCCGGAAAGGTGGCCTCCGCCATGCTGCAAGCTTGCTGGAGGATGCAGTTTCGACGAGCTTTGGCATGGAGGGGATCACGAAGAAGCTTAGCTCCAAGGGCATTGCAGCGGACAAGCTTGGCAGGAATTGTAACATGTTGTGCTCGAGCTCGCCGCGGTTCCGGTACTACGAGATTGATTTGGGATGGGGGAGACCAGAAGCCGTGCGGCATGTTGGATTGGAGAGGCTTGGATTGGATGGACTTTGCATGTTCAATCCTCATCCAAGATCACCCCAGGGGATTGAAGTCACCATAACTTTACCAACATGGACACTGGAGAGGTTGAGACGTCTCCTTGAAGACGCGTGGAGCGCATACTTGTCTTGTGAAACCAAATGATAAATAAGTGGAGACATAATAGCTGAAGTCTTATATAAACCATAGAAGGTTAAAAAAGATTTTGATGCTATTCCCTCATGCTTGAACGTGGGTGAGCTCAGTTGCATGGGAGATGAGTTGGTGCTTCACAGCCGGGGAAGCGATGCTCTAAACATTTACCTTTTGTTAAAAATGTATGTGACGGGGGGGGGGGGGAGAGAAAAAATTATATGCTCTATGTTATCAAGTGACCTTTTGGAATCTTGGGCCGACTAATCCAACTTGACATTCAAGCAGTTCTTCCAGCCCCTGGTAGTGTGCCATGGCCTGTCCACCCAGCTCCTACCGTGCCTGCTCGCCATATCGATGGCAACTTTCCCTTAACGCGTAGGAAACAGCAAGAGCCACGTAGAAAGAGTTAACGAGAGCCCATTTCGACTAAAGGTGAGATCAGATCTAGGACTTGTGAAATGGGAAGTGTAGATGTATACTCCATGGACGGAGCTGATAGCCACTTGAAGGAAGTTCGTAGGATGGTCAAGGGTTTAGACCACGCCAGCATGATAGCGCTCGAGGGCACTGCTCTGACAATCGAGCAAGTCACAGCAGTTGCTAGGCGCGCTGACCATATCCATGTTGAGCTTGCTGTCCAGAGTGCCAAATCTCGAGTGGACAAATGCGCAGAGTGGGTCATGGAGAGTGTCGCGAAAGGAGTCGATACCTATGCAATCTCCACTGGCTTCGGAGCTCACTGCAATCGAAGGACGGCAAATTTCTCGGGCCTGCAGCAGGAGCTAATCCGCTACTTGAATGCTGGCATCATGGGCACCAATCCAAGCAATGTCTTGCCTGTTCATGTCACGCGCGCCACCATGCTGGTGAGGGCCAACTGTTTGGTGCAAGGCTACTCGGGAACACGTTGGGAGATCCTGGATGCCATTGTCAAGCTCATCAATGCTCAAGTTACGCCCAAAGTTCCTCTCCGAGGATCAATCACTGCTTCGGGGGATCTCATGCCGCTGGCCTACATTGCAGCCATTCTAACCGGAAGACCAGATTCAGTAGCTTTCACCAGAGATGGAAGCATCACCTCTGCCCAAGAAGCCCTCAAGCTTGCGGGAGTTGAAGCTCCATTCGAACTGCGGCCCAAGGAAGGAATAGCGCTTGTGAATGGGACTTCGGCGGGTGCAGCTCTGGGATCTCTCGTTTGCTTCGATGCCAACGTTCTCGTCGTCTTTGCTGAAGTCTTGACTGCCATGTTTTGCGAAGTCATCCACGCACGCAGCGAGTTTGTAGATCCGCTCATCCACAAGCTGAAGCACCACCCTGGGCAGATCGAAGCTGCGGCAATCATGAACCACGTCCTTCAAGACAGCGCTTTCATGGCGTCCGCAGCTAGACTGAACCAGGTTGACAACCTCAAAAAGTTCAGGCAAGACCGCTACGCAATACGAAGCTCTCCGCAATGGCTAGGCCCCCAGATCGAAGTCATCCGCCATGCAACTCGCTCCATCGAGCGAGAGATCAACTCGGTCAACGACAATCCCGTGATCGACGTTGCGCGTGACAAGGCGCTTCACGGTGCAAACTTCCAAGGCACTCCCATCGGTGTCGCGATGGACAACGTGAGAATCGCCCTGGCCGCAATCGGGAAGCTCGTCTTTGCTCAATTCTCGGAGCTGGTCAATGCCAGCTTCAACAACGGGCTGCCTTCCAACCTGTCAGCTGGTCCAGACTCGTCCCTTGATTACGGATTCCATTGCGCAGAGATTGCCATGGCTGCCTACATGTCCGAGCTTGCATACTTGGCGAATCCCGTCACCACCCACGTTCAGACGGCCGAGCACCACAATCAGGCAGTCAACTCTCTCGGACTCGTCTCCGCGAGGAAATCCGAAGAGGCCGCTGAGATTCTCAAGATGATGCTGTCCACGTACTTGTTGGGCATCTGCCAGGCGATCGATCTGAGGCATCTGGAGGTGGCATTGCAAGGAGCTGTGATGAAAGTTCTCTCCTCGATCGGGGATGAGTTCTTCCCGGCTGCCTGTGTTGAGAGCATGCTGCTCGAAGTGGAGAAGCAGTATACGTTCAGCTTCATTGACGATGCAATGGACGGCTCCTCCACACTACTAAACAAGCTGAGGCAAGTCTTTCTCGCCAATCCCACCACGCAGGGCTGCTCGGTCAGGAAATTTGGCGAGTTTAAAGATCGGTTGAAACCAAAACTGGAGGAGGCGATTGCCACAACCAGGAAAGAGTCCCTGGACAAACCTGCGACTCATATCATAGAGAAGTGCGTCTCATACCCGCTGTACCAGTTTGTTCGTCATGAACTGGGCACGGAGATGCTCACAGGGGGTGGCCTGGAAGGAAGATCTCCCAAGCAGGACCTGGACAAAATATACGATGCATTCTGCAATGGGAGCCTGATGGAGCCGCTCTTCAAGTGTCTTGAAGGGTTTGAGCAGCATGCCTGAGGGAGTTAATCAAATAAAGGACTGCATAGCAAAATCTTTTTGTGCGTTTGATACACGTTTTTGTCACTGTTTCTTTTTCTTTCAACCTTTAATAAGACGACACTTCCAGCGCAATATGGCATATGGCACAACTTTAAAGTTCAAGTTCGGCTTGGAGAATTCCTGCTGGCGGCCACCACTTTGCGAACCGATGAAGATTCATTCGAAGCCGACATTCCCTATGATGACCTTGCTGCAAAGTCTCGGCCTGGAAGAGGAAGTTTTAAAATCGATGTCGAACCAAACCTTCCAAGAGAGATTTAGATTTCTTACTTGTTTTTCCCAGTTTGTGAAGACACTAGAGATCAAAAGGAAGGTTATCGGTTGTGTGCCTGTTCCACAAAGAATTCCAATCACTAGTCCCTGTTCGATTTGAGAGGAACACAAAACTTTGACGATCAGGAGTGACAAAACACGATCATTCACACCTTTCCATTGAGGCCGAAATGGAACGCGAGACTGTAAGCGATTGGTACACCAACAATGTAGTAAGCTCCCAGATTTGCAGCAGCAGCAGTAGCTTGCCATCCACAACCCCTCGCAACACCGAAAGTTCTCACGATCGATCATAAAATCCCATGAAAGTCATCTCCGAAGTTCTTGGAGCGATTATGAGCTTACCCGAGATGGATCGTTGGATATCATCCATGAAGGAAATGAGGGCTGTGATCGGTCCAAGCTTCGCCACATTGTTGATAACTTCTGGTTCGTTGCTATAAACTCTTCCCAGAAAGTGGCGAGCCAAGAACAAGAGAATCGCCATTGTCGTAGCATCAAGGAGGGCGAGACCAAGTGTGACAAAGAAGGCAAACCGCGCATTGGAAACTTGGCCAGCTCCAAGCTCATTGGAAATTCGCGTACTATGAAAGACCAAAACTAGAGGAATGTCCATACCTAAGAAAACAAAGGAAAAGGTTAAGCATTAATTTAAAAGGGTGTGAAGAAATTTCACATTACTTCCAGCAAATAATTTTTACAAAAAATAATTTCACTTTGTCTACTCGATGAGCAACCTTGTGGTACAAAACCCTGAGAATCATTGCCAGAACTGCTAAAGCTAGATAATAATAAGATCCACTCATCAGAATAGTCCACCTCAAGAATCGCACTTATATTATAATGAACTAAATTGCATGACAGTAACTTGAGCTGCGGAGTCTAACCAAGATGAGATTTCTGGCTGTTTTGATTGCAATCGCAGTGATTTTTCCAAGCTCTTCCCACCAATTCTGGCCCGGTTTCTACGACTCGAGCTGCCCAGGCCTCGCATCCATCGTCGCGCAAGTTTCACTGAGGAGATTCCAGCAGCTGACCAATCACCCAGCACAAGTTCTTCGGCTCTTCTTCCACGACTGCTTCGTAGAGGTTTGTGTTGATCGGGTAGAGCGCGTTTGCCAATCCCACAAGCAATGCAGGGCTGCGATGGATCGATCCTCATCGGCCAAACTCCGCAGTCCTCGGTCGAGAGAGACTCCGTGGCAAACCGGGACTTAGTCCAGGATGCGTTTGATACGATCGATCTCGCGAAGCAAGCCGTGGAAGCCCAGTGCCCGGGTGTGGTCTCGTGTGCTGATATACTTGCGATGGTCACTCGAGATATGTTGATCCTGGCAAGTTTCCAGCATACTTGTATGTCCTTGTTTTGATCTTTATAAACTCTTCCAGGCGGGAGGGCCGGGCTGGAATCTGGCGCTCGGACGGAGGGATGGAACAGTGTCACGCGCGGATAGCGCGCTTAGAGAAATCCCATCGCCAAGGTCTGGTCTGGACGAGCTGCTCAAGAACTTCCACAGCAAAGGACTCAACTTACTTGATCTCGTCACGCTCTCTGGTATGGATATATAGCTGCTAGCTCGAAAAGCCTCGATGATCTTCTTTTTTTTCAGGCTCTCACACGCTCGGGGTCTCCCACTGCTCGCAATTCAGCCAGAGGCTCTATGGAGTCAACACCTCTCTGGACGGCACTGACCCTTCTCTCGATCCATCCTTCGCGAAGGAGCTCAAGAAGGACTGCCCGCCAGGAGCCCCTGTGACGGCCATCGAGTTCTTCGACAAGGCCGCGCCTTTCACCTTCGACAACCATTACTTCAAGAACCTGGAAGCCGGCAGATCGCTGCTCACATCCGACGAGAGCCTCCTCGCCTCCTTCCCCTCCAGGGAAATCGTCAGGCTATTCGCTCGAGATCCACCGCTGTTCTTCTTTTCCTTCGCGGCATCCATGGACAAGCTCTCCAGACTGGGCGTCAAGACCGGCGGGGCGGGCGAGATCCGGCGATCGTGTAACCGATTCAATGCGCAGTAGCTAGAAACTCTCAAAAACCCTAAAAGTAAGAACCCTAATATTTGTGCTCAAACTTCTTTAAAGCCCTTGCGAAAGTCCGCGAAATCCTCCCCTTCTTTTTCTTCTCCTTCCATCTCCTCGCCCCTTCTTCCTCGCCCGAATGGCTGCGGCGATGGAGCTCTCCGGTGGAATCCCTCCTCGTCGCTGCCCCTCTCTCTCTCGCCGTGCTTGAAGATCCCAAAGTTCCCAAACAGCTCGTTTGCGATCTCTTCCGCCGCGCGCATGAATCCCTCGATCTCGCCCGATAGATGCTCCTCCAGCGCCTCAGAGAATCGTGACAATGGATTGCCGCTGCTAGAGCCAAGGCTGTGCTGGTGATCGCCCTCCTCCTCGCTTGGAACGTCCTCCTCCGTCTCCTCTCTCTTGGACTCCACGACCTCGGGCTTCCTAGATCGATGATGATCGAAATTGGAAGAAAGAAATAAAGATTACCTCCCAGGGCAGTGGCGGAGGAGCTGCTCGAGCCTCTCACACCTCAAGATCGGCTTCCTCGTCTCTGGATCCTCCACGGTATTGCAAGTCTTGCGGCGAATCCTGGTATAGCTGCAGCCATCGGCATCGATCTTGCCCTCCATCCTCGCTCCAAAATCCCTGGCGTTTCGAGATTAGGTCTCTTGGCCAAAGCCCACGAAATTAGGGTTCTTGAGCGAGCTATGGCTGCGCGCCCCAAGGAGCCCTCCACGGCGCCCCAGGCCGAGCACTGGTATCCTCTACAGCTTGGATCCAGCCTCAAGGATCCGTCCAAGCGCTTCTACTTCCTGCGCTGTAAGTGCGATCTCGATCTCGATCGATATTTCCAGCTGAGATTTCTTTCTTTGTCTGTGGCGCTTAGATGAATTCAAGCCTGCTTCGATCGATACGAGCCGGCCAGGGTCGCTCCACAAAGACAAGGGCGCCGAGGTGACTGTGGAGCTCTCAAACAATCAGCCAGGGAAGCCCAAGGTCGCGTTTCAAGGTATTAGCGAGGACTGCAAAGACTCCGATGCTATCTTGTTCTTTGATGGAAGGACTTTCAGATTAGAAAGGCTCCACAGGGCAGTGAAGAGCCTCAGGCATCTCCGGTTGCCTGGCGAGTCTGCGGCCTCCTCCTCCTCGGCTCTCGCAGCTCCGGACAATCGATCGCCTTTGCATCTGAATGGAACGAGCAGTGCTAGCGCCGGAGACGATGCCAACGTCTATAGAGGCCCTCGGGTATGTGATCCTCGAACTTTCTTCCTCGTTTCTATGCTCTTGGGCTTGTTCTTAGTTTCGTGCTCTTGGTTTTTCTTCCAGGAACACATCGAAGAGATTGTCATTGGTGGCCAGCCCGAGGCCGCAGCGAGCAACAAGAAAAACGAGAAGAAAGCTGCTGGGAGCAAAGGAAAATCGAAAGCCGCAGCGCCATCTCCTCCGCCGAAGCGATCACACGCGGATGAGTTCTCGCCGGTGGACATGGAAGACGATGCTGCTGCGGACGCGAAGAAGCTCAAGCCGAGCGGTGGTGTTCTAGCCAACAACGTCGAGCACATCGACGTGAGCAACAACATGGAGGAGGGCATGGCGGAGCACGAGAGTGACTACGAGCTCGAGGACGTGGATGTGAGCGAGGACGAGGACGGGCAGCTCAACTCCAAGCCGCCGCCGCTCTCGATCGAGAGCCATCCTGCTGTGCCGGATCATCCAGAGTCCAAGGCAAGCTCCAGCGAGAGTGGAAGCAGCAGCAGCTCCGAGGGTGGAAGCGGAAGCAGCAGTGGCAGCGATGGCAGTGACGATGAATCGGCGAGCTTGCTAGAGATTTGATCATCATCCGGGCTCCAAAGAAGAACTCTCTCAAGGGAGAACTAAGAAGAAGTGGCACGAACAAAGGTATCTATAGAAACGCACTATGACCATGAGCGTTATCTCCAAATTTCTATCTTCCATCTCTGAGACCTACACTTGAATAAAAGGTGAAATATGTTGCCATGCGTTTGAGGGTTTTGCCGCGCATTTCCTTTGTTCTTCGTCTCGGTCTCTCGCTCAAATGCGCCAAGCGATGGAACGCGTCCGAGGCGCAATCCCGCCGGCGCCATGGCAGCACAGGTAGGCGCCTTCTTGCTTGCGCTGCGATCGATCGGCGGCGAGAATCCTCGTTCTTGCGCTTGTTTCCTCCGAAATATCGATTCCTGAGGCGCTTTTCGTGCGTGTTCTCGCAGATCGCCACCGCGCGGCGGCAACGTCGACATCGAGTCGGGCATCGAGATCGCGGAAGAGCCCGGCGAAGAGGAGCCGGAAGTGTCCTTCTGGACGAAGCTGCTGCATTCCATCAAGAAGATCATCGGCGGCACCAGGAGCTGAGAGACAGCGTGATTCTCTCGCTCGATCCCTCGTTTCTTTCTTCCTAGAGTAGAAATCTCGGTTCTTCCTCTCTCTCTTTCTTGAGTGTACAGGGCCATTTTTTTTTTGGTTAATGCCTAGTGCCGCTTAAACCCTAAGGCTATGGCGGATCACGGAGAGCGCAATGCCGTGGCAGCGCCATTCTCCTCCTTGGCTGTTCGATCCTCGACGGAATGGGTAGCCGATCACGCGTCTCATGTTTCCATCGATCCCGCCGGTGAGAATTTTTCACCCAGAACTTTTTCTTTCTTTCTTTCCTTCTTTTGTATGATCTTCCGTGGTGATTGTGCAGGCATTGCAAAGGTGGTGGATAGTCTGCACGGAGATCTCCCAGCTGTTTCATGGGACTTCGAAGGCATCCATTACTTCGATGGTGGTCCTCTCACGGCACAGTACTTGTTGGTCCTTGACACTCTCAACTTCTGCTTTTGGCCAGGTTTGATCATTCCTTTCTTTTGTTGCTTGACACTGTCGTTTTTTGTAGATGGCGACCTTCACTACGATCACTTGGCGGCGGGGCTCAAGCGCGCTTTGCAAAGAGATAACAGCATTTTCGATGCTAAGAGTCTCAAGTCTTTCACAGGTAAGCGCTTGTTTTTTAGCTTTTGCGGTCAAGTTTTTTTGCTGATTAGTTAGCTGCGTGTGTCAAACGCAGGCATTCAGTTGCGTGAATTACTTGAATGGCCACGCCCACTTCCTCTAGAGGACGAACGTGCCCGTTTATTAGCAGAGGTTAGATTCAATTTGTGCACTGACACGCACACAATTTTTTTTTCTCTCTTTTGTTTTTTCTAGGTGGGGACTGAACTAGAGAGAAGCTTCGATGGACAAGCAGTAAACTTAATCCTTGCTGCAAGCGGCTCGGCTGTCGCTCTTGTGGAACTGGTTGCTATGCATTTTCCGGGTAATCAGTTGTTCTTGGATATGTATGAGCTGTTCTTTTGATCCTTGTACACGTCCAGGCTTCAGGGACCATTCCGTGTACAAGGGGCATCAAGTCTTCCTTTACAAGAGAGCTCAGATATTTGTTGCTGATCTTTGGGGAGCTTTCAAGGGCCAAGGCTTGGGAGCATTCGCGGACATTGCTGCTATAACGATGTTTGCGGACTACATTGTTCCTGCTGTTCTTCGGCAGTGGGGAATCCTCAACTACAGCCCGAAACTTGCTCGAATAGTAGACAATCTTGAGGAGCTGTCGTCCGGCACGGAGGAAGAGATTGAAATTCGCGCGTGTACAATCGCAGCAGTGGAGATGCTCCGAGAGAAACTAAGATCGAAGGCTGGGAAAGAGGTATGAGTCGATTGGATATCACACCAAACTGTTCGCGACATTGAAATCTTCCAGGTCCTGAGCGTGCAAGTGGATTGGTGGCTGTGGTCGTCGGGAATAGGAGCAAACAAAAACCTTCGATTTCATCGGACCCGAACACTCTACTATTGACAAGGTAGATAGATCTACATAGATCTAAATATACTGATCCTTTTTTCTTCTTTGCAGAGAATGCACAAACTAGTCTTGGACCAGTCCGATCTCCGCTACTCTCTCCAATGCCGAGGGAGCGCCTACCATCCCGCACGACCCCCAGTTCTCTAGACTCTCATATCCATCTGCAAACAGCTCGAGGCAACGATCAGTAGCGAGCAGCATAGCCATCACGCGCTCCACGAGCACACTAAACAGCCAGGAACTCTTTGCAAGCGCTAGTGGATTCTCCATTCAGCCGGCTCCGAATTCTCCGGACAGTCTCGCCTTTTGTAGTGGGCTGCAAGAGAGGTTAAGGCGTACAAGTATGTGGCTTGGTGACAAGGACGGCATTAATAGCCTTGTGCTAGCGGGGCACCCTTCGTGGCGTCACACCTTGGATTTGTTCCAGCCGCTGGACCGCTGAGCCGATGGGACGATGCCAGTGGCGGATACAATTCGGAGGGCATTGGATTTGAACGCTCGAGGTATCTTTGTCCCCAATAGATGTTTTCTCTGACCAACTTGGATTTGTTTATTCCAGAAAACAGTGGTCAGTGCATCGATCTGGCGAGCATGAATGATCCACAAAGGTGTGTGAAGATAATGTTTTCGATTTTGGGCACTGCAGCACGCAAACGGCATCATTGTTTTGGCAACGCTAGAACGTCAGCATGATCCTCGAAGAACAATGACTTCCACGAAACGACGAGGTGAAACTTCGAGTAAAGTTTAAGTTGGTAGCCTAGTCGCTCGCGAATAAATTCGCTATGACTCTAACTTCGTTTTCTCGTGACGATTTTTCCAGGCCATTGCCACGAGAAAAGCTTGTCTGGCAAGATCGTCAAATGAGAAGCCTACATGATCTTCGAGAATCTGGGCGATGGGAACGTTGGCCAGTGGGTCGTGCGCATCAAGTCATGCACAAGCCTCTCTCGAGCGGCGCAGCTCCACGCACAGTCGCACAAGAGCCTCGAATTCGACAATTACCTCTCCAAGCAGATGTATGGCAAATGCGGCAGCCTCCAAAACGCTCGCAGCGTCTTTGACACCATCCAGATCTTCTCGTGGAACTTGCTGCTATCGGTGCATGCCCAGAACGGGGAATTGGAGGAGGCCAGGCGGTCCCGTGCAAAGCCTCGGTGTCATGGAACATGACGGCGTGAGAAGCTGGAAGAAGCGAGGGCTGTTTTTGATGGCATGGATTTGGAGGAAAGGGATCCAGTGTCGTGGAATGTGATGTATGCCCATAGTGGGCATTGAGGAGGTATTTGATGGAATGCCACTTGGGCTCCTGGAATGCGCTGTTTTGAGGAAGCGAAGGATGTGTTTGATGGTATGCCCGCGAGGGACTTAAACTTCCTGGAGCACCATGCTGGCGACTGTTGCCACCCTTGGGCATCTTCAAGAAGTCAAGGAGTTTTTTTGGTTTGATTCCCGAGTGGAATACCGTCGCACGTTTTGACGAGATTCCATGCAGCAGCATATGCCCAATGCGGGCATCTTGGCCTTGTAGCTCGTTGACTCCATGCCACGAGCGAAACTCCGTGTCATGCACGACGATCCTCGGCGGCTGACCCTACCAGCGGAGCAAGCATCTACAATGACTATGTCGTGTGCTGGAATGACATGTCTATGCTTGAAACGTAACCTGTTTTCTATCTAGCAGTTCGCTAGATTAGGTCTGCTATCCGCTGCATGGCACCAGTGACATAGAGTGAGCTCCCTGGTTAGTAGAAACTTGGAAAATGGCAAGAAAACGACTGGGTGGCATAACCATTATTGCTTCTAGAGAATATCCGTGCGTCACACCCTAGATGCCACTTGGGACAGCAACCAAGTCGTCCACTGGAACCATCTCTAAGATATCCCCGAGGCGAAATTCTAAGAAGCTCATGCTTTTGGCAAGTCCAATCCCTAATCTCAAGCTTGATCTTGTTCTACAAAGTCGCAATGGTGGGAAGTTGTCTTGGAAGGAAATACCATTGGACTTTTTGATGGATTTGTGTCCACAAAAGCTCGCATTGCTCCAGGCCTCAGGACCATGCCAAGCAAAGCTTTCGAAAGTGCAGCACAAGGAGCATGCTCTTCAAAGAGATCGGCCAATTGTAAGAGACAATGGCCTGGATGGAGCCACAGGACCTTGATGAGTATCTCCAAAACATCCTCGCCAATCTTCCAGGACATCCGGTCCTCGTCCTCATCATCCATTTCCTCGTCGTCCATTTCCCCGTCGTCTTGGATCGAGCTTTCCTTGGCAGCACTGGCAAACTGTCCAGGAGGGTTATATTCCTCTTTACTATAAAGGCTCCGACGATCTTGAGAGCAACCTTGCCTTCTTCTTCTTTGCGAGTTGGAAGGACTTCACTACTATATGGACAGTATTTGTGTGTGATCTTTTCTCCAGACGAGTGTTCAAAGGCACTACCCAATTTTGAATCTTACCAAAAATATTCCTTTGGAATGGCCATAGTGAGTGCAAGACGATACAAGCTTGTTGTGCCTATATTCGATATCGGAGCTTGGAACTCTGTGTTGATGTAGTGCGAATGGATGGGAGGAAATCGATGGCTCGGCGGAGTACTGTGTGGTCAAGGTGAATGGTATGGGTTGAAGGCTCTTCGATCAGACGAGGAGCGATTAGCATCACAGTTGCTAAAGGTTAGCGTGCAATTGGAGATATCAAGCTTGTCTCGCCACCATTCGAAGTATTCAAGCTTGAGAAGTGGCAGAATGGTTTCTTAGGTGCCCGGTATAATACTGGGCCTGTGAAGTGGTGGGGAGCAATGCCAAGGAGATTGCATGCTTGACTGGAACTGATGATCAAGAAGATTGGGGACTGGACTTTGGAATGATGAAAGTTGACAACAAGTTTGTGAGCATCACGTCCTCCTCCCTACATTCCCCATGCACTCTGTGCGGCACCCGCCACGAGATTTAACTTGGTTTTCTCATTTTCCAGGCCACTGCCAAGAAAAGCTAGATCGTCAAATGAGAAGCATACATGATCTACGAGAAACTGGGCGATGGCAACGTTGGCCAGTGGGTCGAGCGCATCAAGTCATGCACAAGCCTTTCTCGAGCGACGCAGCTCCACGCACAGCTCCTCCACTCGCACAAGAGTCTCGAATTCGACACTTACCTCTCCAACTTGCTCGTCCAGATGTATGGCAAATGCGGCAGCCTCCAAAACGCTCGCGACGTCTTTGACGGCATCCGCCACAAAGATGTCTTCTCGTGGAACTTGCTGCTCTCGGCGCATGCCCAGAACGGGGAATTGGAGGACGCCAGGCGGTTGTTTGAGGCCATCCCGTGCAAAGACTCGGTGTCATGGAACACGATTTTGACTGCGCTCGTCCAGGGCGAGAGGGTGGACGAAGCGAGGGCTATCTTTGATGACATGGATTTGGAGGACAGGGATCCGGTGTCGTGGAATGTGATGCTTACTGGATATGCCCAAGCTGGGCATTTGGAGAAAGCACAGGAGGTTTTTGATGGGATGCCGGTTTGGAACTTGAGCTCCTGGAATGCGCTGTTGTCGGGATACTCGCAAGCGGATTGTTTTGAGGAAGCCAAGGATGTGTTTGATCGCATGCCCGCGAAAGATTTAACTTCGTGGAGTGCCATGCTTGCTACAGTTGCTACCTTGGGGCATATGTCTGAAGCTAAGGAGTTTTTTGGGTTAATCCCCGAGTGGAATACCATTTCATGCACGGCTATGCTGTCGTGCTTTGCGAAACACGGGCATTTAGAACAAGCTAAAAGTGTTTTTGACAAGATGCCTGTGAGGGATTTTATTTCGTGGAACGCCATGCTATCTGCATATACCCAATGCGAGCATCTTGATTCTGCCTTGGAGCTCTTTAACGCCATGCCCGAGCGAAACTCCGTGTCGTGCACGACAATCCTCGGCGGCTGCGCTCACAGCAATCGAGCTAGTGAAGCGGAGCGCATCTTTGCGAGTATCCCGGGTCGCTACAACGACGATGTCGTGTGCTGGAATGCCATGCTGAGCGTCTATGCTCGCGACGGAAACTCCTTGGAGAATTCTAGGATTTTCTTCGAGGCCATGCCGCGCCGGAACCTCGTCTCGTTTGTCACCATGATGTGCGCCTACGCTCAGAGTGGGAGATGCCAGGACGCCGGAGCTCTGCTGGATAGGATGCCACACCACGACGTGGTTTCATCTACGTCGGCGATCCACGCATATGCGCAACGAGGGCTTTTGCGTGAGGCGATGGATGTGTTCTCGGCGATGCGCGAGTGGAGCGTGGTGGCATGCAACGCGATGGTAAATGGGTTTTCCCAGCTTGGGCGTGTGGAAGAGGCCAAGGCAATTGTGGATTCCATGCCTGCCCACGACGTGAGCTCCTGGAACGCTATCCTCGTCGCGTATGCCCGCGAAGGGCATATGGAACAGCTCGAGCGGTTCTTTACCGCGATGCCGGACAAGAACGCTGCGTCGTGGAGCTTGCTCATCGCCGCCATCGCCGGTGATGGCAGGCCCAGCGCCGCGAGAAAGATCTTCGAGACCATCAGTCGCGACGAGGATTTGCCGCTGTGGAACACGATGCTGGGAGTTCTCGCACAGAGCTCGCAAGACATCGGCACCGCCGAGGAGATGTTTAGAGAGATGACGATGGCAGGCGCGAGCAGCCCAGATGAGATCAGCTTTACGTGGATTCTACTCGAGTGTAGCCATTCGGGGGACTTGGAGGCGGGATATGGATGGTTTTGCTCCATGAGAATGGACTATGGCGTGAGAACGAGCAAGCAGCACTATGGGTGTGTGATCGACTTGCTGGGGCGAGCTGGGCGACTGGACGAAGCTCAGGATCTTCTCGCAAACATGCCGTTCAAGCCGCAAGCTCCTGAGTGGACTTGCTTTCTCGGAGCTTGCAGGAAGAGTTATAGCCCTGACACCACGATGAACTTGGCGGCAAGTAGAGTGTTTGTCCTTGAGCCGAAAAATGCTGCTCCTTACCTGTTGCTCACTAGAAGAAACACTAGCAACTAAAATAGATAATATTTCTCTCTCTACTATCATTGAGTTCAGAACTTTGGATTGATGGTTTATTCACTCAAACCTGCCGGAGCAGCCTGGCCACTATGCCATCTACTGGGAGCTGATAAACAATCTAGATTACTCCAATCATTTGCTTTTAAACAGGTTGTAATGTTCTGGATTGGTCATTCACTGCTGTCCCATACATAATGGGGAGAAAAACTGGGACAATCGGACTCCTCCAGCTTGTGATTGTGTAAAAATGCAGCTTTGCAGACGCAAAGGAGCCCAAAAGCTGGAGATTAATTTATTTTGTACTGAATCCAAAAGAAAAGCATAAAATGTTGAGAACAATTAGTAGTAGCAAAGTTAATTAACATGCACAACATCAAGAAAATGAAATTATACATCCAAAAGCCTTTAGACTTGTGATAGTGCTCATAGAAAAATAATATCTTAATATTGTATCATCAACATTAAAAGACTGGAAGGCTTACAAAATCTATAATTCATTTTTGTTAATCCTAAAAGAAATCCTAAATAAACTTTGGATCAAAATAAAAAATACTTGCCCACGTTCTCAGGTGGCCAAGGCTTTTTTCTCTCAGATTGTACGCTTTCATCATTGTCTCTAATAGAGGCTCCAAGTTCGTTGGAAACTTTTAGAAGCCTAGGAACAACGCTCAGTTTCAGCAGTGCTAGTCTGACACTCAAATTGAGTGCACTAATCAAACATTTGAGATGCCACTATAGGCTTTCTACAAGGCTAAACCAGCTTCATGGCTGTGATGGCTTCTACATGCTGAGTATGCTTACAATACAACACACCACTTGGCTATAGGCATGGCACCATATGCGGCACTTTATGGCCAAGATGTCCTAGGTGCAACAATGCTTAGAAGTAGCCCAAACAAGGATGAAGTATTATGTGGACGTTTAGAGAATTTGAAGTTGGGGAGTGGGTGTATGTATGGTTGAGACCTGAGTGCCACACATTGAGGAGCAAGGCAATGTCTCAATCAAAACTGCACCCACACTTCTTTGGTCCATACAGAAGAAAAGATCAACAAAGTGGCCTATAAATTGTGTTTCCCACCCTTCACAACGTGTTGCATATACTGAGCTTAAAGCTCAGAAGGGTCTGCTTCCAAGTCAGCTCGAGATTCCAGCTCTGTCTCTGGCCACATGCTACTCCTCCAAAACAAGGTCATGGACCAAGACAATTGAGTGCTCCAAAACAAGACATCTCCTATTTAAGGACCAAAGTGTTCAATGAGGGAAGTTATGTTTACTTCATTCTCTTTGCTCTATCTCTCCTAATTCTCCCTTCCTTTCTATTGCTATGGCCATTTTTGTTGTACATTCTTCCTTTCAGTTGTACATCAACTCCTGTCCATTTATGGGCAGTGAGTAGTTCTACAAGGATGTTTTGACTTTAACATACATTTTGGTTTGAATCTTTACACTTTACCCATATTTTGTGAGTGCTCAGGATATAGAAATAAATATATTAAGTGGGGTATAAATCATTAATTAATTACTAAGAGATGGTTATTTTGTTGCTCCTCTTGAGCTTTCTTGTCAGCCTTTAATAGACAAAAATGGATGGACTAGATTTAGTCCCAAATGGATAATTTATATGCTATAGTATTATATTTAGCTAGGGTTATATATGTATATACATACATATATATATATAAACTTTATACCATTCTCCCCTCAAAAAGATGGAACATCTAGAGCTTCTACTCTAGAGCTTTTGCTGAGTGATTATAAATTACCATAAGAATTTAAAGCTCTTACAAAACCACCAATAAAGTTGCTGACAACTACGAAATCCTAATGAATCAATTGTAATTTTATGTGCAACTACCAAATGCTTAAGCCAACTTCAAAACCATAACTCAAAGCAAAGAATTTCAAGAACCATTGTAATCCATGAAATATCATTGCAACAAATGATATATCCTGCATTTAAGTTTATTTGTTAATAATCCTTTAAAAATATTGTTAATTTGAACTCACAACCATAAGTAGAACTTAGCTTTGCATCTTCTCTTCAATCAATATCCAAAACTCATGTTAACTCAAATTTATAACTTTTATCCTTGTCTAGCACTACATATGGGAGGTTAAACTCACTCCATTTGACTTTCATATCCTTTTTATCCCAAAAAAAAAAAAAAATTGAAGCATCAACTCTGTTTAAACTTGTTATGCTCATCCTTATTTTGCTGTCTATATTTGGTTTCATTCCATTGTTGCATCCATTTAACCTTATTACATTGAATTTGATATTTTATTCGAACTTGTTATACTCATCCTCACTCCATAATCTATATTGTTTGTTATCACTTTACTATTGTATCGATTCATACTCACTCTATTGTTAAGGTCAGACTCCCGCTGTTCCCTTTACTCCCTCCTCCAAAGAAAAAAAAGTTTGAAATGTTAGGGTAAAAAAGAGAAAGCAAGAAAAAAGGGGGAAAAAACATTATGAAAGAAGAAAAAGTGGACAAAGAAGTATTAAAAGATAAATTTTTAGCAATTGTCAAAATAAAAATTGAGAGAAAAAAAGGAAATATATTTAAAGCTTAGAGAATAGAGGCTTTGCTATGATAAAATACTTTGTTTAGCATGAGATAAATAAGAGATTCACACCGCTCCTTAATACATAATTCAACACTTGAGATAGAAAAATCAATAAAAAAATCCACACTCTCAAAAGAGCATATAAACCCCTTAGCAACAATGATAAAACAAAGGCTATTAACATCACTCACAACTAAGGCCATGCACTCAACTTGAAACTCCAGTCAAAGTGATTCAACCTTTATAATAGGGGAATATTGAATACTAGAATTGATCAAAGACTCCGCCAAAGAAACAAAAGCAAAATTCTCTTCATGTATATGATCAACATCTAAATTAGTATAAGAATTATAGAAAACACTCAACTCAACATTAAATTGAAAATGAGAATCATAAAAGTAAAAAATGATCAATGTGTTAGGAGAAGAAAAGATATTGCAAATGAAGAAGGAACACTAAAAACATAAAAAGGTTGCTTAGGCTAAAACATTAAAGAGTTTGAAAAAGGGTAGAAAGTAAAGAGAAATGATCAAATAGCAAATTAAAGGATTGATATCTACCTTGCGAAATCTTCAACTCATTCCAAAGCTATCTCCAAAGTTATTTCCATAATAATTAAGTTCCTCATCACAATTTAGAATCTATTCAAGCTTGTAGATGTTGTCTTTCTATAAACTTGATTTTCGAACATTCTTTGAGAACTAAATTGTATCATCTATAGCTCATGAATCAATATCATGATCATGCTTCACATTAACGGGAAATAGTAGAACACTAAGAACAAAACAAGCTATATAATCACATTGGAGATGACAACACACTAAAGATGGGTGTAACAATAATATGATTACACTCTACAGCACCAAAAGTTTAATTCAATGAAGGATACTCTGTGATTGATGACAGTATGACAAGGTAAAAGAAGAGAATACAATGAAGATTAATATAAATCTAGATTTAAAAGAGAATGAAGAAATAAAAACAAAAAGCACAATCTCAAATATTAGAGCAAAGCATTGCAAAAAACTTTGCCCTTTAAGGATAAATTGTAATGCCTCTTATCTCCATGGCTTGGGATATAAGAATAGATATATTAATTAAGGTTTAGACCCTTACTTATATATAAAAATAAATAGACCAAATTCAGTTGGTAATACTATAATACTAACTAGGGTAATACATATATGGTGGAATTGTGAGACACAAATCCTTGAGCCCCAAAATGGAGCCAAAAAGGTGGTAGTGGTCAAAGCAGAAGTACAAATATTTAATAAAGCAAAAAAAAAAAATTAAAATATTGAATTGTGAGTTTTAACTTAACAAAAGGTAATGAAAATCTGTTGACTTGGATTAATACCTCTCTCTATAACCAGCTGCAATCTTGTACATTGCATGATTATTCATACCTCCTATGATCATTTCAATAATTAGCTCTATAATTTATAATAATTTATTAGAATTTCAGTCATTCCAGAACTTTGTGGTAAGTGGAAAAGCCTTGAGCTTCTCAGTGGTTGTTCCGGAGCTACATAAAACATATGTTCTATAGAGCTGAACATGCTAAAAAGTTTTCAATCTTGACAAGAATACAATAACTGGATCTTTGCACAAGATGGAGCTTGGATCTTCATCTGCCATGCACTACATTGTTGCAGCAATGTCTTCATAACCCACAACACGACATAAGCTTTGAATGAATCTATATCAGTGACATTGTAACTCTGGAGGTAAGCATTGTGCTCAACAATGTTCCCCAAGATCTTTTCCTGAACAACTGTTGCATCTCTATACATATCCTCAAACTCATCAATCAGCACCTCCATTCTCCTTTCCCTTAGCATCTATCCACACTGCATTTTTGCCTCCATCATTCTCATGTATCAAGATGGACACCACAAACTCTCAAAAACAGCAAATAGATAGATAAAGGCAAGATCCACCACAAGGTTCCTCTGACAGGAATGTCTGCCACAGTAGAAAACTAATAATGACATATGAGAAGCTTTGGTTTTGGGTGCGACACTCAGCACAACTTTGCAAGTGAGGTGGAGACCACAAAAGACGGTCGAATGGCAGAGGCGATCTAAGAATATTCCTTACTCCATTCTCCTGCAATTAAGGTACCCATCATGCCTACATGGTAACTTTCCCTCCCTGATCTGGTTCCAGGAGCAAAACTTAGAAGATCGCTTTGTGAGAACGGAGGCGTTGGTCAATGAGTTTGAGGATATGTGTAGGAATGCAACATTTGTTCAGGAAGAGATCTTGGGGGCCATTGTGGAGCACAATGCTTCTTGTGAGTACCTCAGGAGCTACAATGTGACTGATGCAGATTCATTCAAAGCCCACATCCCCATTGTGGACTACGAAAACATTGCTGCAAGGATTCAACGTATGGCAGATGGAGGTCCAGGCTCTGTCCTGTGCAAAGATCCCGTCATTGCATTCATCTTGAGGTCTGAAAGCCTTTTCAGCATGTTTGATTGCTTAGCTCCATACAACATATGTTTTATGTAGCTCGGCAACAACAACTGATAAGCGCAAGGCTTTTCCACTTACCACAAAGTCCCGCAGCCTGAAAAACCATGCAGACAAGATTTCAGCGGGTTATGGAGAAAGGTATATTAAGCTAAGCCAACAAAACCTCATAAACTCTTGTGTGTTTGAGCAGAGATTTTCCAGTCGGTTCCTTTCCAACAGCCTTGGCTTTCATGTATGCTCAACCTCATGGGACACTCTCCAAATCAGGCCTCCCGATCATGCCTGGTTCTAGCTTCTATTTCACAAGCCAGGCTTATAAAGAGAGGCCAAGCAGGAGCATAAGTACAGACGAGGTTATCTTTGGTCCGTGGTGGGAGTCAACGTACTGTCACTTGCTCTCTGGACTCATTTTACGCACGGAAGTGGATTATATTACCTCCTTCTTTGCTTATACCCTTGTCCACGCGTTCAACATGCTGGAGGCTGAATGGAGGAACCTCTGTTACGACATAAGAACTGGAAAACTGGACGAAAGAGTCAAAGACGTTAAATTGAGAGCAGCTGTTGCAGGGGTGCTGCGCGAAGATCCAGACTCAGCTGGCTCAATAGAGGAGGTCTGCAGCAGCAATGTGTCATGGGATCAAGGGATAGTTCTAAAGCTTTGGCCGAAAGCTAAGTACTTATTGACTGTGGTAACAGGTGATCTAGTTTTTTATTTCTCTATATATGTAATGTGGTTTTGCAGGTGATATGAAACCTTACATTCCTGCTCTAAGGAGGTATGCAGGAGGTGTACATATTATGGGAAGGGAGTACATAGGTTCAGAAGGAGTCTATGGAATAAACATAAATCCCGCTACTGAACCAGAGAATGTTGTCTTCACACTTGTCCCTACAACATTATACATGGAGTTTCTTCGGCTCAGGGACAACAAGCTGGTGGACTCAAGTGACTTAGAAATCGGTGAGCAGTACGAACTGGTTATTACCACACATTCAGGTGAGCAGTCCTGCCTTGTTTCATTTCGCACCATGCAATCAACACTTTGCAGGTTTGTATCGGTACAAAGTGGGGGATGTGGTCAAAGTCGTCGCTTTCTTTCACGAGAGTCCACAAATGGCCTTTGAATATCGTTGCAGTGCGGTGCTAAGTGTAAGCCTGGACATGACCAGTGAAACAAGAGCTCCAGAACGTGGTAAGAAGAACATGCATCGAGGCGAACCTGGAAATTGTGGATTTCACAAGTCACTCAAACCTGTCGGAGCAGCCTGGCCACTATGTCATTTACTGGGAGCTGAAAAACGAGCCAAACATTTACTCCAATCATGCGCTTCTGGATCGGCCATTTACTTCTATTGTATACATCCCGGAGAGAAGTGAGAAATGGCTCTGCAGCTGGACAGTACAAGACTCCAAGGTGCATTAAGAGCCCAAAAGTGCTAGAGATTTTGGAAGAGGAGATTGTCACCACTTATAGAAGCTCGGAATACCCTTCCTAAAGATCAAATCTGAAATAGAAACACAAACTGTTCTTTGCCAATGGGGAGGGTATGTTTGCCAAATCCAAATAACAATTCCCTAAGCTAACTGGCTAAAGAGGTGATCACTTTATTTTATTATCTTGACTTAATGCCTAAATGATCATTTGTGATCATTGTCACTCATTGTCACGTTGATGGTTGAAATGGAAACCCAGACCAGGGTGGTCACTTCAGAAGTCTTCCAAAACAACCTTTTTTCACGGTCACAAGCTTCAGGGGTCCGATTGTACCAGTTCAGTTATTATGATCTTTCTTTTAAGGTTTTCCCACTATAGGTCTATTAAACCTTGGTTTTCCCTGTAGATCTAGTATGTTAAATATTCCTTCAAAATATTTTTGCCCCATTCATCAGCTATTGGGCTCTAATACCAATGTTAAGTTCTATCCTTAAAACCCTAAATTAACTAATTAACTAAAAAAGTAATCACTTGATTGCAACACCCTTTCTTTGTCCTCGTGCCTGATCCTCCATTAATCCTAATCCTTGGTAGAGAAAGATGCCGTTGTAAATTAGGACTTAATCCAGGATGCATTTGATACAATCGATCTTGCAAAGCAAGCTGTGGAAGCCCAGTGCCTAGGAGTCTCAGTGTGCTGATATACTTGTGATGGTCACTTGAGATATGTTGATCCTGGAGAGTATCACCTGGCGGGCCATCCCATGTATCTCATTTGAACACGATATTGACAATGCTGGTGCAGGGTGAGAGGCTGGAAGAAGCGAGGTCTCTCTTTGATGACACGGATTTGGTGGCAAGGGATTCAGAATGTGATTCTTATCATCTATGTAGGAGATTGTTGTACTGCTTCTTTACACTCCATGTATATTTTCTACTTAAATTTCAAAATCTTCGCTCTAGCTCCATGAGCACCTGGTGCAAGCTCTCTGCGTAGTTACTGGGATGGAAATCTCGGTTTGAAGCCAAGAGGCTGCCAATCTTCTCTTTGACATAGATGGCAGCTGAGTTGCCACCATGTCCATCATAAACGCCAATAAGTGACGCATATATGCGAGAAAGTGAACTGAGGAACTAGAGGCCAATCACCATGCCTACAAAGTTTATGCCAAAGCAATGACTCTCAAGCTCCAACTGGAAGCCATGGACGGAAGGGTACAGAAAAACATGGTTTTGCAAAAAAATAATCTCTTCTCACGTTTATTTCTTGAAGGTCTGTTTACGAGAGTTATAACTGCTTGTTACTGTATGCAAGGAATCTCTTCGAGAACGATGAGTATTGCCGCTGTGGAACACGCGTGCGGAGCTCTCAAGACCGCAGATATGTTTAGTGAGATGGCGGTGGACATGGATGGTTTTGCTCCATGGGAATGGACTACGGCGTGAGAAGGAGCAAGCAGCACTATGGGTTTGTGGGGCGAGCGGATGAAGGCCACAAACATGCCGTTCAAGCTACAGCTAGAGAAGACTCCACGATGAACTTGGCGGCGAGTAGAGTGTCTGTCATGGAGTCGGAAAATGCTCCTCCTTACCTGTTGCTCACTAGAAGAAATTTACCATTGTTGCGACAGTTCGTCTTCCAGCCGTCTTGCCGAGTCTCATCGGAAGTGTCATGTAGCATGACATTTGTGCTGTCGCAATTCCACCAGCACCTTGCTGCTCGCATTCGAAAATCTTTCTTGCTGAATGCACCAAATCCCACGTTTTTCGTGTGAACTCAGAAGTGAGAACTTCGATTTATTCGTTTCCTGTAGATATGTACAAAATTGCGATCTGAGCTCCCATCTCGATCAACGGTGGCGGGTGTGAATCCTTTGCAAGTGTGCATTCTCGAGCTTGTTGAAAAGCGATCGATTCGAATGAAACGAATGCTCTGGACTGAACATGCTGAAAAAGGTAGCTCGCAGATCCTCAAAGCTCACGTTTTCCTCCTGCAACTCGATCTTAAAAAAAGAAAAAAAAAGAAAAGGCATCTAGAAACGCACCTCGTGAACTTGCTGTTGCATCATCGTCCGCAATTCACCCAAGAAATCCTTCATTCCCTGCAAAGAAAGAAGCGTTAAATAGAGAACCACAAAGAAAAAAAAATCTATAACTCACATAGGCGGCGCTTTGGTGAAATCCTTGAAACTGGCTTTGTTGATCATACAATAACCTCTTTTTCCAGTCCGATAACACCACATAGGCATTATGGATCTCCTGGAACTTTAACTTTGCCGCCTCTGGATCCCTTCCGAGGTACTTATCCGGGTGCCAAATCTGTCAATCAGTGTCTAGAATCACTCCAATCACTCCGAAAACTCAAGAAGGATCAACAAGAACTTACCCTCGCAAGCCTTCGGTACGCACTGCGAATCTCTCTCGGCGACGCTCCCCGGTAGAGCCCAAGAACAGCGTAGAGATCGCCGCTCGGCCTATCGCCCCCCATTTGCTCGCGATCGGGCGCCAGCCAGGAAAATCCTCGCGGAGAAGAACAAGACAACACACCACCGCCACCATCCCTCCGCTTAGCCTAATATAATTCTATCTCTTCGGGACACGTCACCGGGAAATGGAATCTAGAAGGTTCTGGATCCTGTTTGAAGAAAGAATATTCTAAAAGTATGAAAAATTGGCGCGCTATGAAGATACGCGCCGTTGTCTTAATCTCCACAGCATGAAGACGCACATTCCAGCCCCCGCTGCCGCTATTACAAGCTGAAAAGATTCGCTTAGTATTCGTGGAGAGGCTGGTTTTCAGGCAAAAATCTTACCTTGCGTGACACTGTAGTAGAGTTGAGTAAACCGGCGATGGCTTTCATCCGGGAAGGTCTCGGAACCAAAGCCACTGCCGTGTGACGCTGAGCGCATGGAACTGGCAAGATTCTACACAGTGCCCTCTGCATTGCGACTTCGTCGAGAGAGGACCTTACTGAGTCCCTCCATTGGTCTTGTCCCTGTGAAAGGAAAATGAGGAAACGATGCTCAAAAGCGAATCCCTTTTTTCGTTCTTCTCAAACCTGGAACGAGGTGTTCAAGTCGCCAACGTAGAGCCTTGATTGATACGCTCGCGACAATCGGTCTAGCCAATATACGTTCTCCTGTTTATCAAAAAAAAAAAAAAGAGGCATTGCTCGGTCAGCTCCAGAGAAAGATCACTCGTGATGGTTTGCACCTGTTGCCCATTCTCGTGAGCTCTCTGCTCAATCTCCAAGACCGTCAAAACTTCCTGTTTGGTGGGTCCTTCTAGTTGCAACCTTGCAACCTCTTCAAGAGAGAATTCGACCTGACAACAGAATGTTTATGTGCCAAAACATTCTGATTGAAGAGAAACTACTTACAAGTTTCCAGGCGCTATCGGGATCACAGGAGAAGCTGATCGCAATGTCACCACATACATCGCTTGACCTTGATGGCTTACTTCCGCCCAGAAAAGCCGAAACGGATGCAGTATATATCTGCTTACATCCCAACGTAAACAGAAGAGAAGGAAAAACAGAAGCTACGAACCTGCCCATGCTTGAACCTTAAAACTTGCATCATTTTCGTCTCTAGCAACTTGCTTATGAAACTTGTAAAGTGTACCTCTTCCATCTGGAAGAAAAGAGTAAGTTCCATCCTCAGAATAGCCTCAGAAATTACTCACCACATTGGAAGCTTTAAGCTCCACTGGAAATGTTATCTGTACGGAGCCTTGTGCTTCAATCATGCTGCGACGAACTTCCTCCCTGCACCACAGCAAGCTTGTCTTCCCGTTGCAAAATGTAATTTATGAACCTTATGATTCCAGCAGGAAAAGTAAATGGCAGGCCTTGCAATTCGTCTCGATTGTACTTCATAACAGGCTCAGAAGGACTCGGGATACCACCCTACAAAAATAAGCATAAAAAATGGTGCTCATAATGAACTACGTACCAGATACTGTAGAATCAGCGGCACGACTTTCTCTGGAATAATCTTGCCAACAATCGCAATAGTAAAAGCAGAAGGATCTTTAAAACAAGAATCAAAGAAAGCGCACGCCCTCAGAGGATCAACTTTGCGAAGATCTTTTACAGTAATGGGCTGCATTGCAAGGAAATGTCCGTATTTGGAAGACGATGAGTAAACGCATGCATACCTTGAAGTAATAAGAGTTGCCATAATTAATTTCACGAACTCGGTTAACATACGCAGTAAATGGATCTCTTTCCTGAGCCTCAATGCCTTCCTTCGTCATTTGCATAACTAGCTTTACTTCATCGTCCCCAGGATGGACACTGGTAACGAAAAGTTGATAGATCAGCTGCACATATTATAAAAAAAAACGGTAAAGTGTGGGAAGAAAAAAGAAGTATACAAAATTTATGGACCTGGAGTGCAATTTCTAGATCAGTGGGAGAACAATCCCCCGAGAAGCTACGCATGTAGGCCCCAATCTTTGTTCCCACTTCAGCTCTTTTGCCAGCCAAGATATCCATGAGGACTGACGGCTTATGTCCAAAAACTCCAATCTCCCCTGCAATGGTAGATCCCATCGAACAGGTGAGAAAATCTTTCTCAGGCACTTGAGAGAGTCCACCATATGCAAATCCCGAAAATACTATCTGCATATATTACTGTCAGCTTCCAAGGCAAACGGACTCAAAACTAACCTGATCATCTAAAAAGTCTGTCGGCTTGTAACAAACACGAAGCCCATTGCTCAGGACGAGTTCTGTGGCTCCAAATTCTTCATAAACAGTGGTTTCCAGAATGACCCTGTGCAAATCATAGTCAGTATTGGAATGTGTGAAGAGAGATCCAAACAGAAAGAAAACAATACCCCGGCTCAGGTTTATTCTCAACAACCTCCTCGGGAACGTCCTCTTCATTCCACGGAGGAATAGAGCCCTCGTCTTCGAGAGCTTGAACTTTCGCAATCACATTCTTTAAATCTTTAACCGTAACACTAACGCGAGGCTCTATCGTCTTGATAATGCAGCTGAGACGAGCCTTGAGAAGGTGAGCAATGTCAGCAACTTCTGTCGCAGTGATTCCTGCATGAACATGAAAGTACACAAACATCAGGAAAATAGAAGCATCAGTAGCAAACCTGGTAAAACAGCCTTTTGAAGACGAGCTTCGTACTCAATTCCAACGACAGGTTCATTATGGAGAAAGTGCTGGAGAAAAGGAAAAACAAAGGTCAAATATGCAGACGAGAGAACCACCCACCTCCATGTATTCTTCTCGGTAGGATGTTGATTGCATCTGGTCCCTTTCTAAGTATGCTGACTCCATGTCTGTTGTCAAAAACGCACGAACCATTGCAAGTTCACGTTCTGAAAATCCGTGCAGTCTTATTCTAGCAACCTGCAGACAATATACATCAGCTAGAGAGAACATCCTCATAAGTACAACCTTACTTCAGTAAGAATGGACTCGACAGCTTCGAGTGTACCTTTCTCCTTGCAACTTGCAGTGATGGTGTAGGCTTTTACAGGTCGAACCAGATTGTCATCCACTGAGGCACAGGAAAAGAAGGGAGGCTCCTGCTGCCTTGAAAGTTTAAAGAATCTTTGATTGAGAGCGCTGTGAAACATTCCCTCAGCTACAGTATATCGATAGTCTGCAACTGTAACAATTTGCCTCGATGGGATTTTCCAGCTGGCCACCACAGCTGACTGCGGACAAGTTGTGTTAATGACAATTATCAAAGTAGAGCATGCATACTTACTCCTCCGGCCTCTGTTTCAGCAAAGCAGGAAAATCGGGGCTCTTCATGACTTGGAACATGATATAGAGGCAATTCATTGTATGCCCGTTTCTCAAACACGGGGTCCTTCTCTTGAAAGTGAAGCTTTATGAGTTCTACCACACTCTGCATCAACAGTACCATATGAGATCAACAAATAATAAAAAACAAAACATAGCAATTACCTCCGTATCTTCAAAGTCTCCTACGGCTACAAAAGCCATATGTTTCGGGTGATACCATTTATGATAAAAGTTTCTGACAGTTTCCGCAGAGACATTCCGAATGACATTTTCGAGTCCAATCGGTAAACGATCAGCGTACTGGGAAAATCACAAGTCAAAAACTGCAAAAGCATTCATAGTGATAATCGTTACCTTTGATCCTTGCATGAGGAGCAACCAATGCGCCTGTTGCATCCGTCCTAAGGCATTGCGATCGCCTCTGTACTCCTCCATGACCGCTCCCCTCTCCTTTTCCAAATCTTCTTGTGATGCACGAATCTAAACAAAACTCAACCATACAGGAAAAAAAAAAAAAGGCGAGAGTAGATACCCCAGCGCTAAACTCCGCGAGGACCGAGATAGCTTGTGATAGAAGCTCTGGTTTATCAACAGGAACCAGGAGCTCGTAGATAGTCTCGTCTGCCGACGTCATGGCATTTTGACAAGCACCAAATTCAGCACCAATGCTCTCCAGGAATTTCACAATGTCGTGGTTCGTATACTTCGTCGTGGCACTGAAAGCCAAGTGCTCGAGAATGTGAGCCACTCCACGCTCCTCCTCCTCTTCCATTACCGACCTAGACAAGCAAAGAAGCAAATAAGATTTCCCGGAGAAAAACGCAGAGAATGCAGGGAAGAAAGCTCCATACCCGATCCTGACTCCCAGCGCGAGCGCAGCTCTCGCCCGAGGCTTGGCATTCTGCCGAACGTAATAACACATACCATTGTCGAGCGTGCCATAGACGACCCCGACCGGCGTCGACGGCAGCAAATCCTCCTCGCGCAGCTCCAGCGGCTTGAGCGATTTGAAGGAGAGATTGGATGGCATCGCTAGAATGTCCGCGGCGGCTGGAGCAGCAGCAGCGGCGACCTCTCCTCGCTCCATGGCGATCGCCATTTCATCCACCAGAGAGCTCGAAAGCCCTAAAATTGGAAGCTTAGGGTTTTATACAGAGTTAAAAGCGTTTTCATTAAAGGCGATAACAGACTTTAGCTAACTATACACATTACAGTTAGTTAGCACAGCTTTACGTAATACTTACTTGCACGAAGAGAGGAGAGAGTTCACGACGTGGATGACGAGCCGGAGAGAGTTTGCGAGCTCGCCGGTAGCGGGTGTGATCATCACTTGGCGATGGAGGTTCTGGTAGAGCTGGTCCAGGAACGCTCTCATGTGTGGCGCTAGAACTGGATCGCTTGGATTCAATGCCACTGATGCTCCTTGGATCCAAGTTAGCTTGCGAGCGGTGTCTTTGCCGAGATCACAGCCCAGTTGCTGGACGAGCGACAGCAGCACCCCTTGGCTCAGTGGAGGTGTCGCGGACGAGAAGACTGTCGCGGGATCCACCTGGAGCGAAAGTGTGTCATTTTCCATGGAAGAGATTGAATGGAAAAGAATACCTGGTTGCAAAGCCACGACACGACCGAGACGTCGCTGAGTGAGAGAGCCTTGTTGAAAGCTTCCTCCAGTTTCCCTTGAGATAGTAGCCTGCTGAGCTCTTTCGTGGGATCCAGCGTCTCTTCGACATGCTGCAAAGAGAGCACCTGTAAGATATCGCAACTTAGTTACCGAGAAAGCGTCTGTAAACGTAGAGAAACGATCACCTTATCAGGGAGCGTCCCGCTGGCTTGTTTGAGAGGGAACTGATAGCGAGTTTCCGCAAGAGCAGCAAGTTTTCTCTGGCCATCAGCCAACTCAGACTTGAGTGTTTGAGCCAGGCTATTCACCGAGTCCTGAAAACAGTAACAGGGCAGGGCGTAAGAACATACAGAAATGAGAGGCTGGTTTTAGACCTGAAGGCTCGATGCTAGAGCATTATGGGATGCGGAAGCTTGCTGCTGCGCATGGCTAGTGTGCTCAGCCATCCCTTTCTGGAAAGCTCCATCAACTTGTTCAAACATAGCTCTACATGAGCGCTCGAAACTTGGGACAACGGATCCTTCGAAACAGGTCCGCATTGCATCCTGCTCGCACAAGTGCTAAATGAAAAAAACATCACATTCAAAAGAATACAGCACCTGTAATGCCTGCTTGGCAGTAGTCTGGAATTGAGATTGCAAGTGACGGGCCACAGATGCATCCAGCTTCGTTGTGACTGCTTTCTCCACATTTGCTACAGCTTTCTCACTCAAGTTCTACACACAAAGAAAAGGTGAGAAGCACGTTGGAACTAAAAGCTTAGGGGGACAAACCTGTGAGGATTCAGCCAAAGCAGTCGCTATTGCCTTCTCAACTGATTGAGAAAGCAGCTTAGCAACGGCAGGACCGACGGCGGCCAGTTCCTTCTTTAAAATACGCTCCATTGCCGTCGGCACCTCCTTCGTTGAGTTTATGCAGTTTGTCAGCGTGGTTGTCAGCTGCTGAGACCGCTCACGCTCGGCTTTCTCTCGTTTGACGCTTTCTTCCTGTAGCTTTGCATACATCGCGTCCACATTCGCTTTCAAAATCTTTTCCAGCCGTTGCCCCAGAGATGTCTCCATGCGCTTCACCTCTTTAGTCATAGGCACAGTTATCATGACCGACAGCTGCTTCTGCAAATCCTTATGCATCGCCAAGAGCTGAAAATACAAACTTAAGAAGATTGAACGAGAAACAAAAGCCTCAAACCTGGTTAAGAGTGTCTTGCAGACTATCAGAAGGAGAAATCCCGTTCGTTTCCGCCTCAGGAAGAACAGCACTTGATGACGGAGCTTGTACTGCGGGCGCAACAGCCTTGTTCTTGTTTTTCTTGCCTTTCAAAACCGCTGGAGACTGAGAAGCTGATGCAGTATTTCCTTCCGAGATTTTGGAGACTTCTTTCAGGTCGCCTAGATCCTCAACAGGCATTCCCACACTTCTTCCGTCGGGGAGTTCGGCCTCATCTGTCCGTTCGGAAAAGGATGGCTGCATCGATGGTTGCGAGAACTTCTGAATGAGAGCATCTGCTTCAGCTTCAAGTTCCGGATTGCCGCTCTCCAGCGCGTCGATGATCTCATCAGTATTCTCAATGAAACCTCGCGCAGTAGAAACCCTTGCCTCATATGTACCTTCGTCATCGCCACCAGCTCTTGCATCAAATTCTTCATCCCCTGTCGTTCCAGTTTTCAAGGGAACTTCAGTCTTCGAACGAGCAACCATTGACATCAACTCTGATGGCGTAATCAAATGTGGCTGCTTTGACGGCTTTCCACCTTCCTTTTTGTCTTCCTTCTCATCAATTTCCTCACTCCTCTTCGCAGGCTCTGTCACGTCCAAGACGGCATCCGATAAAACAGCTTTATCGATTTGATCTGAAATAACAATAGTCAGTCGATCACCACATGTTGAAATAAAAGCTACGTACCAGCGTCGGAAGGCACCGCAGCTGCCACCTGACTATAACTATCCTTGGGCTTACTATCGACATGTCCCTTGCCTTTCTCCGTAGTCGTAGCAGCGAAATCCTTGTCGATGCTCGGTTTTGGAGTATGCATTGGTGACGTTGCCTGAATGCTTGCTGAGAAACCGGAATCAAGTACCGAATCTGGTTTCCCTTCTGCTGGAGGAAGGCACATAAACAAGCTCAGCGAGTATTGCTGAATAGCCTGCGTCTGGACGCAGTATACTTGCATGGCCCCGTCACCATCCAGTTGACTGTCGCTGGTAGCCGTAAAGCTCAGAATCGGCATTTTGACAGAAAACTCTGCTAAATAGTCCATCCGGGCCAAAGACGCCGTTGTTCCCATCTCGACGTGTATCGCGTAGATAGCATTCCTCTTTGCGTTTGCTAGCAAAATCAGGTTGGCGCGAGGAACTATTATCATCTGGTTGAAGAAGGCTTCCTCAACCTTCTTTTCGAGAGAGCTTTTCAGCTCCAAAGTTTGTATGCATTTCCAATTCACCGCATCAATAGGAGCCCAAAGCTTCAGGTCCTTGTTCAGTGGTCCCTACAAACACAGGATCATTAAAAAAACTTATCTCATTAGTTCGAGACATACCGCAGTTAGCAGGACAACTTGGTCTTGACGTCGAGGAGAGCTCAAAAATGCAACCGAATTGACGGTCAGTGTGCCGTGGGGATTGAGTACAATCGGTTGATTATCGCCCCAAATACGAACCTGAAAATTTGGATGGGAACAAGAATAACAACGTCCTGAACACAAACCGTTCCATCTTTGGACGAAGAAGCAAAACGATGACTTCCGGGATAGACAGCCAGGCCAGTGACTTCGTCCTCATGGTTGCCGACGACACGAACCCCATCAATGGGGGTTTTCACGTTGCACTGTATCGGCTCTTCAGCTGAAAACGTTGTATTTCTGAACCTAGAGAGGTCTATAGTCAAAACATACTTTCCAATGCCCACTATCAAAAAGTCCTGCACAATTGGGATCACTTTTAGCCGCGTTTCTCAAACATGAAAGGATACTAACCTGGCGTGAGTGCCAACACACGCGTGGTTGAGCAGATTCCCAGTCCCCAACAAAATGGATTGCTGCTAGAATCTGCTCGGTCGGTAAGTTCTTCCCATCTTCACCAACATCTTCCACTATCCTCCGAGCAAAAACCCGGCCTTCGATGCTTGAACTAAAACAACCACCAAAAGAAACATTCAGTCACCATCATGCGAATAGAAGATCGCCATAAATACCTTGCTAGAACATGAGTATCACTAGACAAAAAAGTCATATCCAGTACCCTCTGCAAATCGACGAAAGCGTCAGTCCGGCCTCTAGAAAAACAAGAGAAAACTTACTTGGGTATGGCCTGCGAAGAGGTTACGTGTCCCAGTGTTAATGTTTAGAATACGAATTTTTCCAGCTCGGAGACCATAGCAGATGTAGCTCTTGTTCACGGCAATCTGACGTCCCACCACCAACGCAGGCTCGGAGCTATAAACAGTGATCGTAGAAACTTCGAGCTGAGGCTGTTCTTCTGTATCACCCCGATTGTCGATATCATACACCGCTCGCTCTCCAGACAAGAATCGTCCCTTTGCTGCTTTTCCCGAGATCCTGCTTTGCGGAGCCAAACTACTCACCGGAGGAGCCGACGGCAAGGCTGGAGCTATCGCTGGAGGAGCCTCGGAGGTTTCAATGGCACTGGGAGCAGTATTGGAAGACGAGGAAGAAGTAACAGTAGTGGTGGTAGTCACAGCAGCTGGTGGAAGCTCCAAGGACGATGGATGGCTCAAGAGAGGAGCTTCGCTGCGAAGATCTCCCGTGGACTGTGTGGTGAGGAGAGCCATAAGCCTTGCTCCATCCAAGGGCGGGCTCGACACGGATGGCTGTGAGGAAGATTGTTGGGGCAGTGGAGAGACAACCGATTGGCTGAAAGGAGCTTGAGGCTGGATGAAAGGAGGAGCTGGGCGAGCGTCCTGGGTGGGATAATGCATGAAAGAGTATGGCGCTGGGAATGGGAAAGAAGGCGCTGGCGAGGACGATACTGGAGGAGGATAAGTGCTCTGTGGAGGGAAGGGGTAAGGATGATACGGAGAACCTGTGCTGGAAGCCGGTGACGGCGATGAGCTCTTGAAGAAATTCTGGATGTCAAAGTTTTGAGGAGCGCCCGTCCCCATCTCTTCAGTCGCTAGAATCCTAGAATCACAGCCGAGGCGAGTAGAATCAACGCGCGCACTGGAAGAATGCCGCAATGCTTACCGATGATCGAGCGGATCACAGAGCGCCGCGGCCCCGGGCGGCGTCCAGCTTGGAAGCAGCAAGCGATGAAGCTGGCCCTAACCCTAAAATCTCACTCCTTGGATACCCATTGTCGCCATAGCCGGATCACGCAAGGACTTCCGTACCCTTCAAAAGTGGAACGCGCCTGGCCGTCGGATCCTGCTAGTACCGCGTACGGCAAATATCATGACTTTGATATTCCCGATTTGTAGGCATCTTTCTTACGTTTGCGGTATTATTTAGTTCAACTCATAAATGTGGAACATAGGATAGAAATATCCATGCTAGATGCGAACTTTACAAATCTCGTCAAGGATTGCAAGAGCCTCTCTTTGGCAAAATCTCTCCACAAACAAATCCTCGAGAGCGAGCGCCGAGACGAACGGTTCCTTTGCAACCTTGTGGTGGGCATGTACGGAAGGTGTGCAAGCTTGGACTCTGCGCAGCTCGCCTTTAACAATATCCGCAATCCCAACACTTTCAGCTGGAACATTCTTCTCACAGGATATGCCCAGAATGGGCATATTGAGAAAGCCAAAGAGATTCTTGAAACGATGCCGAATCCCAACACTGTCTCATACACAACGGTCTTAGCTGCCATTTTTCACTATGATAAAATCGAATCTCTTACGGAGTTCTTTGAAAACATACCATGCAAGGACATCGTTACGTGGAATGTGATGCTTCACGCATATGCCCGGACAGGGCATATGCTACTTGTTACCGAGACTCTGGAGAGAATGCCCGTGGCAGACATAGTCTCCTGGGCAATCGTTATTCAAGCTCACGTAGATAACGAAGATCTTGATCAAGCCATTGTTCTATTTAGCTCGGTTCCAGCAACGGATTTTGTGTGCTACAACATCGTCATGCAAGCTTGTGTGAAGCACGGCCAGATAGAAAAAGCTCGAGACATCTTTGAATCCATGCCAGAAAGGAACTTGGCATCGTGGAACATCATGGTGGGAGCTTACGCATCCAGTGATCATGCAAACTGTGCTGAGGCACAGGCGATATTTGATCAAATGCCTGCTCGAGAGCTTCTCTCGTATAATTGCCTCCTTGCTTCTTACGTTCACAGCAATCAGAGTGAAGTAGCGAGGACGATCTTCGAAAGACTAATGCCCGAGCACGACACGGTCTCGTGGACCATCCTTCTCACGAAATATGCTCAGCTTGGATATACAAACGTGTCCGAAGAGATGTTTACTAGCATGCCGGTCTACGATGTTTATGCTTGTGATGCAATGCTGGCTGCTTATTGCCAGGATGAGAACCTTGAGAAAGCGGAAATATTGTTTGCGTCCATGCCGAAGCGAGCCATAGTCTCATGGAACACACTTCTCGCCGGATATGCCCGTAAAGGGCATGCTGCGAAAGCAAAGAAGCTGTTTGACGAGATGCCCGAGAAAGATATTCTGTCGTGCAACTCCTTACTTCTGGCTTACGTTGAATCCAAAGAGAAGGTTTTGCTTGATCAAGCCTGGAATTTTTTGCTCAAACAGATGCCACACCACGACGTTGTTTCGTGGAACACCTTGATATCGGCCTATGCCCAAAACGGATATGTAAAGAACGCCCGAAACTTATTCGACAGTATGCCAAACCGGAACCAAGTGAGCAACAATGCAATGATCTCCGCGTATGGAAGTTTTGGAACAATCGAGGAAACAAAGTTCTTCTTTGACACAATGCCGGCTTGGGACTCACAGTCATGGAGCGCGATGATGAATGCCTACTCTAGAAATGGACGAAGCAGCGACGCTATCGATTTCTTCCGAGACTTGTGCTTCTCAGGAATACTTCCGGACGAGCTCAACTTCGCGAGCGCTCTCGAGGCCTGTGCGAGTGTCACGGATCTAGCCAATGGCCTCGAGATCTATTACAAGTTTGTGAGCTCGGGACTTCCCTGGGATACAAAAGTTGGCTGTGCTCTCGTCGACATGCTGGGAAAATTCGGCCAGTGCGAGCTCTCGCTGCAGGTTTTCGATCGAGTTTCCCATCGCACTGTGGATTTGTGGGCTGTTTACATGCGAGCTCTTGCTCACAACAGCAAGAACTTGCTCGCGTTGGAAGCTTTATACGAGATGTACCTCGAAGGTTTGAAGCCGGATCAATCGGTGTTTGTCACCATTCTCTCCGTTTGCAGCCAAGCGGGATTTGTCTCTCGGGGATTGGAGCTCTTTGCAAGAAAGTTTGATGATCTCTCCAGCAGTGAGATCTTTAGCTCTTTGCATTACCACTGCGTGATCGATCTTCTGGCAAGAGCTGGGCGGCTGGAAGAAGCCCAAAGATTATTCCAAGCCATGCCTTGCAAGCCTGGCGTGAATGCGTGGTCGGCACTGCTCAATGGTTGTGGCTTGCATCGCGATCTTGATCGAGCAAGCTTGCGAATTTTGGCGGCAATCCAATGGTCGACATTTAAAGCTGGTCAATCAACGGTCCACATTTGAATGGATTCACAACCGAGAACGCTCGTCGAGTGGAACGTACTCCTTTCTTCTTGCGCTCGCAGAGGATGCCTCGAGGAGGCAAAGTACGCATTCGACTCTATGCCTGCTTGGAGCCCAGTTTCTTGGAATGCCCTTCTCGCAGCTTACGAGAAGAATGGATCCGTGGACGATGCCAGGAAATTCTTCAACCAGATGCCGTTCAAGAACCTCATCTCCTGGAATTGTATCCTTGGCTCGTATTCTCAAAAGGGACACCTCGCAGAGGCCGAAGAGATCTTTCATTCCATGCCACAAAGAAACCTTGCTACGTGGAACACCCTGCTAGCTGCGTATTCCCTCCGAGGTCTCTTAGAGCAAGCCACGCTTGCGTTCGAAGAAATCCCGGAAAGAGATCTTTTCACTTGGAACAGCATGTTTAGTACATATGCCCGTGTTGGGGATTTTTCTCAGGCAAAAAGAGCGTATGAGACAATGCCGGAGAGGGACTTAATCACCATGAACGTTTACCTAAAATTTTTGGTCAGCCGACACCTCTTAGAGGAGTCTATAGATTTGTTTTGTTTGATGCCTGAGAGGGATCTTGTGTCGTACACAACATTGCTTACAGCATATGCCTCGAACAGGCAATTTGATAAAGCGGAAACAGTGTTTGGTATCATGCCGCAGCAGAGTATTGTCTCCTGGACGGCTCTTCTTTCAATGTTCGTTGAGGCTGGGAATTTTCATCAGTCGTTGAAAACGTTTGAATCGATGCCAAAACACGATACAGTATCAGCAAACGCAATGCTTACTGCGTATGCCGTGTCTGGGCGAGTTTTGGAGATGAAAAACCTGTACGATAGGATGCTTGTGCGTAATATCGTCTCGTGTAACATTATGCTTGACTCGTATACGCGATATAAAAGCTTAGGGGACGCTCTTTTTTTCCTAGAAACTGTTTCTCGCTTAGACTTAGTGTCATGGAATATCATTCTTGCAGCATATGCCTTAGCTGGGCATATTGAGCTTGCAACATGCACATTCGCTCAAATGCCTGTAAAAGACTTAGTGTCGTGGAAAGCTCTTCTTGGTGGCTACATGAGAATTGGCGATTACGCAAGTACCATCAAAGTTTTTAATGAGATGCCTGAGCGAGATGCTGGATCATGCACCTACATCCTCGCAGCTCACATCCAAGCCTGCCGCCAGCCGCTTGCAAAGAAATTCTTCTTTTGTGACATGGTCGAGCGAGATCTCGTGACATGGAACACCATGCTCAATTGCTACGCACAAAGAGGCCTCCCAAGATCGACCGAGCTCTTCTTTCACACAATGCCTGAGCGTGACACCATCTCTTGGACGGTTGTGTTACACTCTTACGCAAGCGTCGGCCACCTCGAACGCGTACAGGATATCTTTTCTAAATTGAAGGTGGCAGCCGACCTTGCGGATGGGATTTGCTTCGTCCTAGTGCTCGCTACGTGCGCGCGGCGGGGAAAACTCTACAATGCCTGGTCGCATTTTACCTCCATGGTAGCCGACTATGGTGTGGAGCACACCGAGCAGCACTATTCTTGCATGGTTGACGCACTTGGCCGGGCTGGTCATTTGCGCGAGGCACAAGAACTCTTGAGTAGCATGCCGTTCGTTCCCAGGATCTTGGAGTGGTCGTGTGTTCTTGGAGCCTCCAAGCTCCACTGTGATGGCGACCATGGAAGCTGGGCAGCTACGGAGGTCCTTCGTTTGGACCCAGGAAACCAAGCAACATATACGATCCTTGCTAGCAATTCATTCCCTTTTGGATGAGCTTAAAGATTGGCACAAACGGATGTATATGCTGACTAGTGCCGAGCTGTTTGGCAATGTGTTTGTCTCCATGGATTGTACATGCACCAAGAGGTTCGTTCATAGAACATTGCTGCATTTCTTGGAGCAATCTCTCAAGCTTTACTCGACAGGTACACATTATCTTTGATCACGTCAGTGATAAATCCTCATCTCGCAAGTAGGGGCACGGTGGAAGAGGTTTGGCATGATCCTCATGGATCGATATAAAAAGTCAAGTTCTCACTAGCCAGAGGTGCAACGAAAGTGAATAGATTCTATCCAAGATCATTGGTGATGTTGGGCACTAGCGACCAGCATGGATCTCATTTTGTGATCAAATGCTTTTAAGCAGCTCATACAGTTTCAACCATCGTGTTTGATTCAAGCTTACTTTCACAACATCTTACATACAAACACAATATTATTTGTGTTTTTGTAAATATCAAAATTTAATTTGGTGCCCAGCCATAGTATGGCAACAAATATATAATTGTGTGTGAGAGCATTGTGTATTTACACATCTGAGAATTTATTTTTTTGTTTTGAGTTGCATGCAAAAATATTATGCACACAATCACTTTCGATTGTTATATAAACAATCAAAATGTGATTATGTGTATAATATTTTGTCATAAAATATGTTATGTTGTATGAGGCATGACACTTTAAACTGCCACATAAGACTGATGCCATGTCATCCCAGATAACATGATATCACCACAAATCTAATGAAGGTTTTACCTAAGCAAGTATGCAACATAAGTTTCATGCAAGCAAGTATGCAATGCTATGTGAAATAAATATTCCAAAACTCTTCTTTTACTTTTATAATGTCATGTAAAGATGAAATCCATGAGTGATCTGTGGAGTAGTAGGACGAAAAGCACCATCACCATAATTGAGGTATTGAATAAGAGCTTCTCATTTTGTCACAGCATTATATATTACAATGGAATGCCTAATTAGTGCTTTCTTGGTCACAATTGCCAACTTTTGTTCCCTTAGCAAGCATCGAAATGTTAGTTTTTATATAAATTAGTTATAAGTGTATATGCAACTTTGTTCCTCTTATTGATCTTCACTAAAGCATTGTATGCAATCTTTCCAACTTACTCATACACCATCATTGTCTCATCCAAGTGATTTACTTATCCCAAGAGATCAATCATTCCATGGTAGTGCTCATGCATAGGACAGATCTCATACTTCGTCTCTATTGCATATAAGCACTCCTTTCCTCCCACTTGACTGCAAACATTGATGATCTGAACACTTGAACAGGAATATAAAGCTATCAAGATGAATGCTAGAATCTTATATGCTATTAAAGTTTTCAAACATGGAGGCAGCATCTCCTTGGTGATCAAGTCCAACTATAAGTGCCATCTAGGCCACAAAATCTTTAAATGGCATTGAGTTAAAAACTTGTTGAGTTGAGACCACATTTTTAACTTTGCAGTAGAAGTGAACTGTACATGTCACTGTGACTTGGTTGTTCTTTAGTCCACAATAGCAAATTTCTACATCATCTCTTTGTCCTAGCTACCAGGCCCTAATACTGCTACAAGCTTTAAGTTCCCATTACTACTTTTGTTGCCTAGCAGTACAAAAACATGCCTCACTTCAATGCCACCAATTTCACAAGACCTCCATCCATTTTTCTGCTTTCTTCTCTAGCAACAAGACTTGAGCATGCCGTAAGAGCAATCACATATCTTCAAAAATTTGGCATACAGCCTTTGGATTGTATGCTTTGAAATAGTTTTAATGCTTTCTTATACTATTTTTCTCAAATGGATTTCTTGCATTTTTAATCATGCATTAAAGATTTTAGCATTATAATGTTTTGTTGCATAAAATGTTTTTCATTGCCTTCACCAAGGAAACAGCTTTAAACACATAATGATGGCGAGCTTAGCATGTGGTATCCAAAATGCACTAAAAAATCTAGTTTGCCCACTAGCAAACATCATGCCTATAAACCCTATGCTAATGTGTCAAAAAAGCTGATATGGAGTTGAAATTTATATAATGCAAAAAATTGCATACACAACATTACTTAGACTTTGCCATGTATATGTATAGGCATCAATGCATGCTCATGCATTAAAAAACAATTCCTCTAAAATATTAATTTGTGAGTCCACTCTCCTTGAGAGGTGTACTAATAGCTGAAGGCATAAAACATAGAAGGGTACAAAAACAGCATATTATAATGTATCAGTTTCATGCTTCTTAGAGGGCAACACAAACCTTATAAACAATTAATGAAAGAATGAAAATAAAAATAATTCAGACTCATGCATATCATGTATTTTTGAAACTTTGAAGAGCATTGTTCTTTTATACAAGTAAAATAGCTTTCCAAACATTCAATACATATATATCTTTATATCATCTACTGTATTGTCACATTATTTTATTTTTGTCATAATACTTCCTCATGCTATTCTGACAAACTGGAGATGCCCCTTACCATTCAGTTCTCCGTTGACGAACGCTTCGAGGAGCTCTGCCATAGAGACTTCCTTGTACAAAGGTGGCATTTCTTCCGAGGTAATTGGCTTTAACTTCCTGTCGCGGCCAGGACCGTAAATTGTTGCAATGGAGATCCGAGAGCATTCCTTATTGACGACAGCTCTGTGTTCCACGCTCTTGTAAGCTCCATTTGTTAGTATCTGGGACGCAACAAAAACCATGCTAGCTTTAACTATGAACCAAAGCTGAGAATCCTCATGCACTCACCTCAACCGTGTCTCCAACATTCACCACAAATGCGTCTGGGATGGACCTGACGCTCCTCCACTGCCCGTCTTTCTTAACCTGCAGGCCTTCCACCTCATCTTGGAGCAAAACGGTAAGACCCACGACATCAGAGTGAGGGCTGAGTCCAATCACAAGCTCTGGCTGTGGACAAGGCGGATAATAGTTCAGCCTGATCGCATAATGAGGACTAGGACCGAAAGCTTCAGAGAAAAAACTAGCACGTTGCCCCAATGCCTCTGCCATGCATTGTAGCAGTTTGATTGCCAGAGGCCGTATCTCCTGGCCGTACTCTTCCACGACTTTCCTGTAGAGTGGAATTCAGAACGACGCTGAAAGTTCTCAAAAATGTTACCTGTACTCTGGAGGATTGCTTGGCCAATTCCTTATGGGAGGAAGAAAATGATAAACAGGATCGCCCCAGTCGAGCACAGTCTCCTCCGAAGGAACGAAAAATCTTCCGTATCCTTCCTGGCTGGCTAGAGATGGTGCATCAGACCGAATAGCATATGCTTCCCTCTGCTCCTGGGGCAACCGGAAAAAATCCCTCACGGTCTTTCTCACCTGTTTAAGCAACTCCGGAGGGATGCCATGTCCAATCAGCTGAACCAGAGGTTAGTCATGGATTTTTGCGCAGATCTCACCTGGAAAAATCCCCAATCTCGGCAAGCGCTGTCGAGCTTAGCGATGCCTTCAGCTGTGTCAAGCTCTGCTGCGTGAATAACTGGAACCTCACCATCTTCCGGCCATGCTGCAGACAATGACCGCTCTTCCGCTGGCTTCACAAATCGCTGAGGCACTTCATCAATGCCAGACTCAACCAAATCCTGAACCATGGGAAGCCCCCCATCCTTTGGATCAAGCCCCATTTTACCAATTCCTGCTTATCCTTCATACAAGCCCTTCCTTGCGTAGAACTACTGTACCAGTTTGGACACTCCTGTTTAATATTTCTGGTGCAGGAGTTGCGGATTCTGCAGATCGAGGATGCTTACCCTTGATTGTAGCGGCCAGCACGAGCCTCCACCGATGCCACGCTCGTCCGTGGAGTGCTGAATCGGCTCAGGTTCGCCAAGAATCATCCGGCGAGGATCAGGTGGATCATGAACAGAAAGTCCTGTTCGAATGTAATTCTTCTCCTTGCGAATCACATCGCAGAAGGTTGCTTGGCATTGAGCAGGCCATTGTAGAGAAGGTAGCCGGACAGTTTGTCATACTCTGACAGCATGCAAAACTGTGTTCAAGCTCTATACGTACGAGCGAGCGACAACAAGAATGAAAAACCTTTGAGGTTCTGTCAACAACACGAAATTTCAAAGAACATTGTTCTTTTATATATATATATATTTCTCACTTCTATTTTTTTTGTCATAATACTTGAGAGCACAAATTCGTAGAACATAGCCTCATGCCATTCTGACAAACTGAAGATGCCCCTTACCATTCAGTTCCCCGCTGAGGAACGCTTCAAGGAGCTCTGCCATAGAGATCTCCTTGTACAAACGTGGCATTTCTTCCGAGGTAATTGGCTTTAACTTCCTGTCGCGGCCAGGACCGTAAAATGTTGCAATGGAGATCCGAGAGTATTCCTTATTAACGACAGCTCTGTGCTCCACGCTCTTGTAAGCTCCATCCGTTAGTATCTGGGACGCGACAAACACCAATTTGTCAATTCTTGCACCATAGGTTTAAGTTTTAACTATGAACCAAAGCTGAAAATCTTGCACACACCTCAATCGTGTCTCCAACATTCACCACCAACGCGTCTGGGATGAACCTGACGCTCCTCCACTGCCCGTTTTTCATAACCTGCAGGCCTTCCACCTCATCTTGGAGCAAAACGGTAAGACCCACGACATCAGAGTGAGGGCTGAGTCCAATCACAAGCTCTGGCTGTGGACAAGGCGGATAATAGTTCAGCCTGATCGCATAATGAGGACTGGGACCGAAAGCTTCAGAGAAGAAACTAGCACGTTGCCCCAATGCCTCTGCCATGCATTGTAGCAGTTTGATTGCCAGAGGCCGTATCTCCTGGCCGTACTCTTCCACGACTTTCCTATAGAGTGGAATTCAGAACGACGCTGAAAGTTCTCAAGAATGTTACCTGTACTCTGGAGGATTGCTTGGCCAATTTCTTATGGGAGGAAGAAAATGATAAACAGAATCGCCCCAGTCGAGCACAGTCTCCTCCGAAGGAACGAAGAATCTTCCGTATCCTTCCTGGCTGGCTAGAGATGGTGCATCAGAGCGAATAGCATATGCTTCCCTCTGCTCCCGGGGCAACCGGAAAAAGTCCCTCACAGTCTTCCTCACCTGTTTAAGCAACTCCGGAGGGATGCCATGTCCAATCAGCTGAACCAGATGTTAGTCATGGATTTTTGAGCAGATCTCACCTGGAAAAATCCCCAATCTCGGCAAGCGCTGTCGAGCTTAGCGATGCCTTCAGCTGTGTCAAGCTCTGCTACGTGAATAACTGGAACCTCACCATCTTCCGTCCTTGCTGCAGAGAATGACCGCTCTTCCGCTGGCTTCACAAATCGCTGAGGCACTTCATCAATGCCAGACTCAACCAAATCCTGAACCATGGGAAGCCCCCCATCCTTTGGATCAAGCCCCATTTTACCAATTCTCCTGCTTCTCCTGCTTATCCTTCATACAAGCCGCCTTTGCCATTGCAAAGAAGCTTCCTTGCGAAGAATTTTTGTACCAGTTTGGACACATGTTTCCAGAAACAAGACTTAAAGGTGCTGAGCTTGTATAAAGCTAAAAGAGCTTTAATGCAAGTTGATCAAGAGAGTTCCATGGGAGGACATCTTAAAGGTCAAGGATTCTCCTATTGCTTTTGAGGCATGGCACACATTGCAGCACTACTACTGTGGAAAATGGAGATGAACATCTTTCACTAAATGGGTAATTGTCCATAAGGAATAGAGGAGAAAGGGATGATGGTGTTGGGAGATAAAGTTGTAGAATATGAAGTCATCCTTTCCAAATGTTACTGGGGTGCTGATGATTTCCAAGTTGAACGAATGATACTAGAAAGCAAAAGTAGATTTGCATATTTCATGCTTGATAGTGCTGTATATTTGTGATCAATTGATCCAAACTGGAACATACACAAATTAATTTGTAATAGAGTGTCTAAATGTTTCAATGATAGTTTTTTTTTTACTATGAGCATTTCCCTTTATGATATTGACTTACTATCAAATAAATTTTCACCCTAGTTAATAATCATATTTGATCATATAGTTTATGAGAAAATTCATCTTTTGGGAGAAGAACATTAATGAAAAAGGCACCAAAGATTAAAAGGATGAAGAAGCAATTGCAATACAAATGGCAAGATGTTTATTGTACATGTGTCCAAAAATGATTTTGGACATAATATTTCTGGTGCTGGAGTTGCAAATTCTGCAGATTGAGGATGCTTACCCTTTATTGTAGCGCCCAGCACGAGCCTCCACCAATGCCACGCTCGTCCGTGGAGTGCTGAATCGGCTCAGGTTCGCCAAGAATCATCCGGCGAGGATCAGGTGGATCATGAACAGAAAGGTCATCAAGGCCAAAAAAACTGTTCATCCTTATTCCACCTTATGGAGAGACGCAAGATTTAAAGGATTAGAAACTCATTTAAAATGTTTGCTGATCGTACACATTTCCTAGCAACACGTGCAGAGCACTAGAATTGCAAGTGGCATAGGACGCTCGTCCCACATCAAAGTGTGAGCTACAGCCGGCAAGGAGTGTCACCCATGCAACTTCATCTGGATGGTAGGGCATTTCATTGAGAAGCTGCTCTGCACTATCAAGTTGCCCAGCTCGAGTCAGCAATGCAATTAGGCACTTGAAGTGTACTAGTGCTGGAGCAATGGAATAATCGCTCACCATCAACGAAAACAGCCTTACACCAAATTCGAGCAAGCCTTGATGGCTGCAGGCAGCAAGAACACCTGTAAATACACTCTCATCTGGCGCAAAACCCTCCCACATCATGAGTGTAAGCATCTCGACTGCCTCAAAACACTGGCCACTCAGCGCATATGAATCGATCATCACGCTCCACGACCTTGAGCTCCTATATGGCATCGTGTCAAAAATCATCCTAGCTCCCCCCAAATGCCCATTCCTGGCATTTGCCGTAACGATTGCGTTCCACGACACAGTGTTGTGCTTGGGCATCTTCTCAAACATGGCCATTGCGGCACAGAGCTCAAGGCTATTTCCGTACGTGGACACCATTGTATTCCACGTAAGCACGCTTTGCGATGGCGAGGAGTCAAACAGCATCTTGGACTCGGATGCACATCCCTTGGCAGCATATGCCCCCAGCATGGCTATCAAAGTCAACTCGTTGGCTTCCGGAAGCCGGTCAAACAGCTCCTTGGCCGCCACCAGGTGGCCATTCTGGCCGTAAGCATCAATCATAGCCGTCGATGACACCACGTTATGGGCTGGCATTCTGCGAAACACTTCACCCACATCACTTACTTGGGCATATCCGGCAAGCAAGCCCGTCCAGGTCACAACATTCCGTTCTGGAATCCAGTCAAACAAGGAAATCGCCTCGTCAACTCTTCCCTTGCAGAAATATCCAACGACCATGGAAGTCCAAGTCACTACACTGTGCTGCGGCATTCTATACACAAGCTTGCCGGCGACCCCTATATCTCCATTCGCGGCATGGCAATGGACTACAAGGTTCCACGATTTATAGTTTCTCGCAGGCATTCCATGGAAGATATCCAATCCTTCCAGGCTTCCAGCGTTCCTAGCAACCAAAGCAAGCATGGTATTCCACGAGACCAAGTTGTGCCGAGGCATTCTTCCAAAAACTCTCCTCGCTTCTCCCGCTTGCAAACTCGACCCAAATCCAGCAAGCATGGCGTTCCAACTTACTATACCGCGCTCGGGCATATCATCAAACAATTCTCGACACTCTCGCATATGCCCATTCGCGGCATAAGCAGCAACCATGGCAGTCCAAGACACAGCATTGAGCTCTGGAACCCGATCAAAAAGAGTTTTCGCGTTCTCGAGCTGACCCATCTGACCCAGCGAGTCGATCATAGCAGTCCACGAGACAACGTTCCACGCTGGCATTCTCTCAAAAATCCCGTAAGCTTCACGGATATACCCGCTCTGGGCATATCCAGTTAGAAACCCAGTCCAAGTTATGATATTCCGCTGGACAATTCTCTCGAAAGTAGCCTCTGCTTGCTCGGTTTGGCCACTCCTGGAAAAGCCGACGACCATAGCACTGAGCGAAACCACTCCATGCTGTGGCATTTTCTCGAGCAAAGCCTCAGCCTGTGTGAGATACCCAGTCTGGGCATAGCCCGTGACCATTATGTTCCAGGACACGGAGTTCCTCTCGGGCATGGCGTTGAACTCGCTGTGCGCTCGCTCCAAAAAACCGTTCTGTGTATACACCGTGACGATGTTGTTCCACGAGAAGACGTTTGGACGCCGGATCCTATCAAACACCGCAGCCGCTTCGTCCACAGCTCCAAACTTGCCATACATCTCAACCAAGACGTTCCCGAGCAGGGTCTCCTGCCCATCCCAGATCGTTGCATGGAGCTGCTGGAGCTCCGCCACACTCTTGCAAGAACGTAGAAGACTGCAAAGCGCTTGCTTGCTCGCATTCCCAAAGGCCAGTCTCACTTTAATGGACAAAGAACTACTGCTACTAAAAGTTGGTTCTTTGAGGAAGGTCTTGTAATGACCACTCCGAGATACTCGTCCCGGAGATTTGCGGGGAAAATAAGATCAAGTGCGTGTGGAATTCGCGAAGCGTGCTGCGATGCCCAACGCTCATCACACAAGTTCCCGATTCTAGGAGAAGTCGATACAAGTAAGCCTGCGTAGAGTGACTAGATCTTAGAAGAGAACCAAAGAGACAAGCTTTTACCTCAGTTGCTTCGTCTATGGCACTGGTTGCTTCATCCAGGAGCGCAAGCTTTGGTTTTGATAGAAGCAATCGAGCAAAAGCCAGGCGCTGTTGCTCTCCCAGTGACAAGACACTGGACCAGTCGGCATTCGCGTCCAAGTGGAACGAGCGTTCCAGGAGCTGTTCAAGCTTCACTCTACGCAAGACTTCCATCAAGTCGGCATCGCTGTGCTTGGATTCTGGATCATGAGAGCACACTTGTGATAGATTCACGCTAAAAAGACCCGCTACCTTGATCGTGTTTTTTCTCCCCGTCTTTGCTCCAAGTTGGATAGAGAATTTGTTGCC